TAACACTAACCTGTCGGTATTGAACCAAAATGTCAGATCATTTGGTAAACATTTTGATGACATCAATGCACTACTTGAAGCACTGGGCTCTAAACTATCTTTCATTATCTTGACAGAAACATGGCTAAGTAAAGACCATACCCAACTATACAACTTAGCCGGGTATAAAGCCATTCACAACTGCAGGCCCGACAAAAAAGGTCGTGGTTCAGCTATCTATTATCAAGATAATTTCAATCGCACAAGTGTTATTAGCAATAGAGACGACTGCTGTGAATATACCTTTGCTCAATTCTCGGTCAAATCCCTTAAATCGTCAATAACTATTTGGAGCTATTTATAGATTTTCCAATACTAATACAACTACATTCTCGGAAAATATAAGGAACCTAATCATAAACAATAAACTCAACAAAATCACATCATCCTAGGAGGTGACTTCCACATTGACCTGTCAACAAAATAGCCGCAAGTCGAATACTTCCTAAACAGCATGAACTCCTGTATGCTAATCCTTATAATCACCAAGCCCACACGAATTACCCAAACATCTGCTACAACCCTGAACCACATATGGACTAATATAACAACACCCCCCCCCCGGCCTTGTCTCTGGTATAATCACTGACAGAACAACCGATCACTATCCTATCTTTCTTTCAGCAAACATGGACGTAACACCCTCAGTTACCAATAAACTTACCTTTAGACTACTCAGCAAGCCAGCAATAGGGAACCTCATAAATGCACTTCACATTATAAACTGGGAATCTGAACTCAGCAATACACAAGATATACTGTACAGGGTAAATTCATTAGCCGACATCTTTCTCTCCAAAACTCGAAGCCTCTATAACACACACTGTCTGCTCCTAACTAAGCAAGTAACTACCAAAAGATTAAACAACCCCTGGCTCACAAGTGGCATACTTAAAGCAATTAACAAGAAACACGAATATGAAAAAAACACAGAACTGGCTTAGTTTCAAAAGAAGTTAAGAGATACTCATCAATGCTTACCAATATAATACGAAGAGCTAAGCTTCCTTTCATGAGAATACTGTGGATTTAAAGAAGCAAAAGAAATATGAAAGTATATGGCAAGCCATCTCTAACATCCTAGGGGTCTAACCAACAATCACATAACAAGCATATAAAACTCTCTAAAGATGGTTACACATTTGCAACAAACTAAGATTTTCAACTGAATTCAATAGCTTCTTTTCATCAATTGGTGCAAACCTTGCCAGAAAAATCCCAGAGACCCAGACACATGTTACAACATATTTCACAGGCAGCTGTCCTAACTCTCTACTCCTTTTACCAGTCAGCCCGACACACATTATATCCATAATTCAATCGCTTAAAACCAAAGCTGGGAACATTAATGAAATACAATCTGTGATATATAAGAGTGCTGCCTCTGCTCGTGCACCACCCATAGCTCTGCTGTTCAACAAATCTGTAGTGTCATACTATTCCTGATAGCCTTAAGAAGCAAGTGACGCCAGTTCATAAAGGAGGCAAAACAGCTGACATATATAATTACAAACCAATATAAAATCTACCTACACTTTCAAAAATATTTGAACAAATTATTTACAAACAGCTCTATTCCTACTTTGTAAAACTCAACATATCAAGTCCCTGCCAGTTCGGCTTCCGTTCCCAAAAGGGTAAAAATGATGTCATTATTAGTCTGCTTAATATAATCTACTCAGTCCTTGACAAAAACGAGTCCCTACTTGGCCTCTTCGCTGACCTGAAAAAGGCCTTTGATGCTGTAAACCATAACTACCTATTACTTAAACTTCACTAGTATTCTGGAGAATCAACACTGGCACTCTAATGCTAGAGTTGCCATATCTGCCCTGTAGCATACCCTCACTATCAGTTTGCTATCATTTTGAGGTAGTGTGTTGCATCATAGTCTAAGGACCCCTTAGTGTTTAATGCCCCATTGGTGGTTACAGTCAGGTCCTCTTTTAAGATAGCATTACACCACCTGCTCTTGTTGTTCTGTCCTTTCTGAATGGTAGAAGGTATTCTTGAAGATGGAATTCCCTTTCAGTTAGAAATAAATATCTCTTTGATATCCCCAGAGTTAAACTTAATCTGTGTAAACACACTATGCAAATAAAGGGACCCAGTTTATGGAACTCACTCCCTATTGAATTGAAAAGCTGTCCAACTTTTACATCATTCAAAATCAATACTAAAAAGTAACTAATTTCATCTTCATAGTTGTTCACTTTTTGCCTTAAAATTGCACTGTATCTATTGCTACCCAATCTCCCAACCTTTTTGTTCCCAATTTGAACATCTTTACCATTGTGATCATTGCTGTCTTCTTATATGTGCTGCCAATCTGATGTATGGTGTTTATTAATCTTGTTTATCTGTATCTATTGCTACCCAGTCTCCCAATCGTTATGTACCCAATCTGAACATCTTTACCATTGTGATCATTGCTGTCTTATATGTGCTGTCAATCTGCTGTATGGTGTCTATTAATCTTGTTTAAATTACTAATCAAGCTGTCAATGTAATGAATCAGAGCTTTAATATAACAATGTGCTTTAATATACTTACTAAGCTCTCTCATCTTATTTTTCTCTTGCAATGTATCTTTATCATTTATCAATTCTGATAGAAATTACCTACTTAAAATTATCTGTTAGATTAAGGACCTGCCCGGAACGCTGCGCGTACTAGTGGCTTTTTTAAGAGTGTAAATACTGTACTATCCAATGTATTCTCACAAACCCAATGTACCTTCTTGTATATATATAAATAAATAAATAAATAAAATGTCCTCTTGTCCTCATGTTCCACTGATGCCAATGATGTCTGGATCGTCATCCTCAGTGTATGTACACAATGCAATAAAATTATTTGCTAGGCTTCTGGCATTTGTGTAGAAGCAATTTATATTCCTGACATTGTTCCTAGGGGGCTGAGGGAGTGCTCCAACATTATTTAGGTTATTATTCCATACATTGTCACTTTAGGTTTCTGCTTGTCATGAGATATATATATATAGGGTTACTTCTGCTTGACTACGGCCTCTCTTCCATCCACTGTCTTGGTCTAATTAGGAACAAATATTACAGGAACAACCGTGGACATCTTCAAGAGGAAACTAGATTGTTTCCTTCAAGGAGTGCCGGACCAACCGGGCTGTGGTGGGTATGTGGGCCTGCGGGCCGCTCCAAGCAACAGCCTGGTGGACCAAACTCTCACAAGTCAAGTCTGGCCTCGGGCCAGTCTTGGGGAGTAGAAGAACTCCCAGAACCCTATCAACCAAGTATCAACCAGGTCATCTGCCATCTCTTTATCTATAACTTTGAGCTCCTGTACTGCTGTGTGTTTATTTGCTCCTTTGGTTTGTCTCCAAGTTTTTTGTCGTTTTTTGTTGTTCTGCTGCAAGATTGGTTATGTAAACGATGCTATATCCACCCAGTTCTTTTAGGTTTTGAGTACTTCTGCGCAAACCCATCCTCAGACCACGTCCATTCTATCCAGCGGTCGACCCCAAAAACGCATTCATCCATTTTAACATGTTGGTCATTCAAAATAGCAATTTTATCAAATATAAATTAATATTGTTATATACAGTATTAACATAGTGTGCATATTTAGGCACTGGATAGGTTAGGTTAGGTGTTTAGGTTCTGTTGGATATTATTTGTATTTGTGGTATGTGGGGTGAAGCATTTACAGCATTGTGGTTCAAACAAAAGTCGTTACGGAAGTCACCAGTTGTGAGTCATATGTAAACCGTTTTTCATTAATGAACAAGGGGTGTGGCAGGTGCATGGAATGAACTCTGGCCTTTGTTTATGAGGACAGGCTGTATGAGCATATGTTTATAACCCAGGATTTTCAGTACGTCAATTGTTTGTGTTGAGTAAATGTATGTGAACATGTTGAACTGAATGAGGTGAGAATAACTCGAGTTGCCTCATCTATTTGTCTATATTAGACAAGGTTCGAACCCTCGTCACGGCCCTTGTGGATTTGTTCCATTAGGGTAAATACTTAACAGAACTACCTGTTTCACTTTACTCAAGATGGAATTCTTAGCCCTGTGCACTCTTCAACGCGTTAATACCAAGTTATTAACTCACCAACATAAGCTGAGGAGGCTGTCATTTGCTATGACGATATCTGCATTATTGCAAATATTAGACACCAGCTACAAGCTCTCCTTAATTCTCCACAACTGGTGCAGCAGGCAGAAAGTCTCTCCACAACTGGTGCAGCAGGCAGAAAGTCTCTCCACAACTGATGCAGCAGGCAGAAAGCCCCTCCACAACTGATGCAGCAGGCAGAAAGCCTCTCCACAACTGGTGCAGCAGGCAGAAAGCCTCGCCACAACTGGTGCAGCAGGCAGAAAGCCTCTCCACAACTGGTGCAGCAGGCAGAAAGCCTCTCCACAACTGGTGCAGCAGGCAGAAAGCCTCTCCACAACTAGTGAAGCAGTAATTATCAAAAGGCACCAAGCTGGGAAGATAATGTAGCACCATCGGTGTTGTTGGTTATTCAAAATGTACGAAATATCACCCAGGATGCCAATACAAGAACAAAAGAGCATAAGAAGAGCAATATCAAAGTAATCTAATTTTCTAAAAATTCGATCCAGGAACAAGTGGGCCCCTAGGAACATCGGGAGAATCTGAACACAAGGAGGCGTGACAACTTAGTTCAGACAATAAGCAGCAGGGGTGATGTTCCACTAAGTACTTGCGAGTTAAGTGTGTGTGGTACCAAAACAACCTAGCCAGAGCTGTATCCCACCATCTATTAATAATGGTGGTAGGAGGAAGCTCAAATGGATAGCTATACCTATCCTTTTGGCCAAGATGCCTTTTAAGCTAAAAAATTAGTTGAAGTACTGAGATTAGGATGGTTTGGCATCTTGTTGCAAACCCTTTTGTTACATATTGGCAGTAATGCTGCAATTAGCGTCAAAAGATCCAAAAGTTGAGGAACACTTATTCATGTACATAATTTATTTAAATGTTTGCTTAAGAATAAAGTACATTACATATATAAAATTTAATATACCAAATAAAACAAATATTTGAATGCAACATTTACCAAGGATGATTCATATTACACAGGATTAGGTAAACAAAATTATGAAAGCAAGAGTGTTCATGGGCAAACAATATAACCTTTTATATACTGCATATGTGTGCGTGCTCATGTATGCAAATATACCCACAGTACACACACATACAGTATATTACATGTACTTGCAATTCGTCATGCAAGTACCCCATTAAAGCAGGACTCACAAATGCAAATTAAAAGCATATTTCCCTTAGAAACCATCAAAACATGTACACTATAGGCCTACATATGCACACATAATATAGACAGGTAATAAGGCATTATTTGTTACCATCAACTTAACACCCAACAAACAGGAGTGGGAAATTTGTCGTTCTTTTGGCTCCATTACTCCATTACCAGTGACAAGAGTGACATGATCTATGATGACCACAAGTGCTCAAGGACATACAAACTCTCATGCACAATTAATTTTATAACAAGAGGTATGAATAATAATGTTTCATAGTGCTACATTCTGAGATGAGAGCATAAATTTTTTTTATAAATATTTTATTGTATAGGGCTTTCAATGAAACTTTGTAAGGTACATCGTGAATAAATACCCTAGGCATTGTGATTGGTGTTCTTCTAGCAGAACTGCTGTCAACTTGAGGAAGCATTTCCAAGTGACTTTTTTTTTTTTTTTTTGAAATATGCCAAAAATAAACATGAAGCGAATTCTATCATAATTACTGTTAACCACCAAAAAACATCATACTTTTACAGGTTGTAACATAAGTACATAGAGTCAAATACTCAAGTTTTCTGAAACTTATGAATATAAACTTAAATCTGCATATCACTGGGCAAAACAATGGTTGGTTTATTCCTTTAACAGCAGTAAAGCACTACCAAGATGATTCTTATCACATCCGAGGGGCACTAGCCAACCATGGATGAATCCTTACTTGTGCAAACACTGCTTATACTTTAATAGTACCTTGACTACTTCATATAAATGCTAGTCAGTGATGCTGCATTAACTTTTTCGACAAGTGTTTATCCATGAAGCATTTTATTGCAAAACTTAATATTTAGATTTTTGGCAACAAAATGGTTAGCAAATAAAAAATCACAATATAGTTAGCAAAACTGTACAATTAATGGAACAATGATTTCAAGTTCAAGGCCCCCTTATGAGAACTCTATGTTCAGCACATGCAATGTAGTCAACTCCAATTCTATCACAAGTGACTCGCACATGACTGCCATGCAACAGAGCCGTATTTAAATGACAATGTCGAAATACTGTACAATTACTTTCATTATGTTGAGTTCACAAAGTAATATAGCAATACCAGAAATCATTAGATCCTATTCATTACATAATATATTCACCATCCAGATCCTACATATAATAAAGGTTTTTACATTCTTTATCAATCATGAATGACTTGTTGACCTTATGTAACCTCCAGTAGATGTTGTGTGTTTATACTTATACCAAGTTGTTATCTGGGTGCTATTAACTTGTCATCTGTGGCAGGCCAAACTCATCGACAGGCATGCCATCTTTTACCGTTTCTGCTCCCGGCTCTCTCTCTGGGGCATTTGGGATATTGATGGCATCATCCAAGTAAGACGAGTCTTCATCCAGCAGCACCTCATCTCCAAGTGCGTCGAGCTCTGCTGCCAGATCATCTTCATCAATTTCTGGCATTCCGTAGCTGCGTCCTAGAGCCTCCTGAACTTCGTCGGCCTGCTCGAGCATGTCTGCCATGTCGTCCTGTTCATTACATTACAGTTTTTAATTTAGTATGTTTAAAATGGATTCATGAATTTCTGTGCACATGAAGTTAGTTTCTTAACAAATAATTACAGGATTTAGGTCAGAGGCCAAGTGTGGAAGTTAGTTCGTAGGATGAGGTAGCAATTGCTTCAGATTTACCGATTAATTTGTTATATAATTAAGAAGGATACTTGTAGCTTTAAGAGAATTAGCGATCATAAAGTGAGATACATTAAGATAAAAGAATGTTGGGATCTAAATTACTGCACACTAAGATAGGCAAGGCTACTTGATGTATCAGAACTTAATCTGATGACCGAACTGCACAGCAGATGAAGAAACATAGTCATTTCGGTGTGTCCTGAACCATTATCAAGTCGTATCACTTACGACATCAAAGTCCAGGATGGACCCAAACGTGGTCGTCTCTTCATCTTCCAGTGTGTGGTTTGGTCATCATATCTTCAGCCAAGTTATTGTGACATCATCAGAACATAATCTGATACACCAATATCTCTAAGGGTTTATACTGAAGGTTTTGCTCATTAAATTATACTCCATCTCCAACTTTGATGCAGGTTGGAGGCAAAAAGAATGAAAATGCGCTAAGAAAACAAGGTTAAATATACAGTACTGTAATAGTAGTAATGTTCTGTATCAGTAACCTACCCTCTTGATAACATTTACATAGAAAAGAAGTGCAAAAGTAATATGCATATTTTTTTATCTAGGCAGAGGACCAGCTGGACTTGCTTGCCCGCACTTGCCCGCTTGCTTAGCACTTGTGGGGGACATTATGGGGAAAAACAAATCCCTCGTGTCCGGAGGCAGAGCACAAGAGGAAGTGCAGGAGAAAGCTTGAATTTACAGCCCCTCCTCCGAACAGACAGTACGTTTTAATACTAAATGTAATAAGTACAATCCTGACTATCAGCATAGTACATAAAAACACTTAATGGCCAGCATCGCACCAAAATATTGTGAATATTAGAGTTTACCTGAAAAGCTGAATAGAAAACAACAACCTAACCTAACCTTGGGAGTGTAGGAGGTCAAGCATGTAAATAGCATTTATTGCTTCTCAATTACAATTAGTACTTAACCTATAGCTATATTGATATTACAATTTTATAAAACTAATAAAACAAAACTAAAGTCTTTCAATAAATTATAAAATAACTCTGGATATTTTCAAATTTTGTATAAAATCTCTATTGTTTAATAAAACTGAAAAATAAATTATTTATATTTAAAACTTGTGTATGTAGAATTGAACACAAAAACTTCAACCTAAAATTTTGAGTGTATTAACAGAAAATGAGGAGAATATATGGGGAGGTAAATGTAAAGGCACAATTAAGTGTATTGATGTACTCTGCAGACAGTCAGGAAAGTACTTATTACATTTAGTATTAAAATGTACTGTCTATTCGGAGGAAGGGTTGTGGATTTATCAAGAGTCGCTAAAATCAGCTCCAAGATTCTCATCAAAGTATAAAAATTAAGTTTTTTTTTTTTACATAAGTGGGTACAGGAACAAATTACTTCTGACCTTCTCTATGGCAGAGGCAGCCAATGTCTACATGTACTGTAATGAGCCATGTGCATCCATAAACCAGCAGCTACTGACAGCAAAGGGCACTCGCTCAAAATAAGAGGTTTAGTGACTACAAATGTCGCACACCCGAGGGTACGGAAGACCTTGGACTCGTCAGGCAGAATGACAAGAGACGACAGGTATACCCATCATTGTAAACAAACAAAATTGTGGTGATAATATTTCTACAGCACTACTGAACTTAACAGTGTCTGAGCATTGGACAGTCTTAAGCACAAAAAACCTTGTATCCTTTATGTCCAAGGCCAAAGGAGTGTGAAACTAGTTACAATGAGCACTACCATGCCATCGGGGGCTAGACGGGTGAGTGGACAGCCCTCGGGATTCATAGTCCTAAGGTTCCGGGTTCGATCCCAAGCAGAGGCGGAAACAAATGGGTAGTTTCTTTCACCCTGATGCCCTTGTTTACCTAGCAGTAAATAGGTACCTGGTAGTTAGACAGCTACTACGGACTACTGTACTTCCTGGGGATGTGTAACAAAAAAGGAGGCCTGGTCAAGGACCAGGCTGCGGGGAACGCTAAGCCCCGAAATCATCTCAAGATAACCATTTCACTGGTTGTTCCTCTGATCTACATCAGGAAAGCGATTCAAACAATTGTAATGTTCAAAATTGCTATTAAATAAGTACTTTATCTGTTAAAAAATTAATCTTTTTAATTTTCACTCTTCATTACGTGGTATTTCTGTAGTGCATGTCATAACAAGCTGGCAGCTATTCCAGTGATAAAGACAAGATCCATAAGACATGGCTGCTTTGGAGAAAGCTGAAAGCTGGCCAACAAAAATCATTCCCGAACTCTTACTAGGAACGGTTGAGGGTCACAGGGCTAACAACACTACAGGCCAGGCCTGACAGGACAGATCTCATCGAAACTTTTAAGATACATTACTGAACAATTTGGAGGATGTTGATCCAAACAGCTTCTTCTTCAAAAAAAAAAAACAGATGTACTGTAACACAAAAAAAGGAGCAACAGAATTAAGCTCAACAAGCCACAATGTAGGACATTAAACAGAAGATGCTTTTCACCCACAGGGTTATAAACCCAAGGAAAAGCTTACCCACTAAAGCCATAAATGTCAAAACTTTGTTGAAACTTAAAATCCAGCTTGAAAAAATCATCAGGACGAATCAGGTAACATTGACAAATTTCCGGCTTCCTGTCCTCATCAAAGCCACTAGTGTTTTAGTGGTCCTCAGGTAAATTCAGGTAAATAGTATTAATTCTCACCTGAATATCTTCAATTTCATCAATATCAATCTTCTTAAACTCCTTCTTCATTTCCTTTACCCCAAGCTTCATGGCGCTCACAGTTGTTTTAGTATCCTTAAGAGTCTGCGTGGCATAGTTTGCTTGCTCCATGTTGAAAGACTGGTTCCGCAAATTTGCCGACTGCTGCTCGTACATTTTTTTTTGTTTTAAGACACGTAATGCTTTTTGTTTCACCGCATTTTTTGCAGGCCCTTCTCGCATCTGTTGAAAATATACATTGAAAATAACATTCAGTAGTTAACACAACATTTCACAATTTTTTGTTAAACAGTATAAACATGCAATAGAGTATGTACTGTATATAGACAAATATTCATTAATTTATTAATTTGATATTTACACTGTGTACCAAACATTGTAAGATAAAAAAAAAAATTTGGCCCATTAAGAATTTTGTTAATAATATTTAAGCATTCAGCCATAATTGCAACTGTATTAAGTACAATCCATAAAATACAGTACCTATTAAAATAAAAGCAATTGATGTATCCCACAAGTAAACACAATCAAACTTTTGTCTGTAAACAATGGAAACTTGTATAGTACAGTGGACGACAAGTTACTCAAAGACATCCGGAGCAATAAAATACTATGGGGGCAGATTTTGTGAAAACCTAGTGTTTTCCTTGGCAAATTCCAGCAGACACTACAAAACATACAAAGAACCAAGCATTTGGTACTGGTACTGCACTCAACCAATGAAGTGTTGTTTGATCAAGAAGAGTTGATTTTGTAGCAAGTATATTATGTAAATAATATACCTGTAGGTTATGTAGGAAGAAACTTCTATATCTTGTTAAGTACAAGTGAGGCAATGTCATTCTCTATGTTCCAGAGGAAGATGCTACATAAGCATATGATATTACAAGCTCACTCTAAGGGTCTGGTTAAGGTTGTAAGTGAGGGTTGGTGAGGGTGGTGTGTGGGTGGGTGTAACGGGGGGTGGGGGAAATAGCTCTCTCTAGTCCGTTATCCCGTCCCCAGTTAGCTAACTATTCTAGAGCACCTCCAGAGTTCCTACGGCAACCTCTCTCGTTCATCACCTTGTAACCTAGGTATTTGACTACCTAGGTGCTAAGACTACAAGGCGCCGTAACTTGACCAGCTACCCGAAACTCTAGAGAGAACTCTAGAACACATTTCACTGCCACAAACGTTTAAGAGAAACGAAAGGAAAGAGATGACTAGTGAAGTAATTGAAGTAATTAGTGAGGGTGTGGGGGTGAGAGGTAGAGAGATGGGAGGAGCGAGGAGGGTCATTAGTTGAAAGTGAGAGTTAGGAGAGGGGTGGAGGGAGAGGTGTAGATAGATAGAAGTAGAAGAGTAGATAGCAGAAGTAGAAGAGTAGATAGAAGAAGAAATGTAGATAGTGGAAGAGTAAATGCTGCCACCATCCATTCTAGACCATTACATACGAGACAAGGAATGGAACTTGTCTGTATTACAATATACTCAAAAGATGTTATTACCATGTATCAACTCCAAACATGTACTCATTAAAATCAAGAACCCAGTAACCGCAGAGGCTTTCTCACCTCAACTCAAAACTCTAGGGAACAAAGTTAAAGACCATTTAAATAATAAATTCAATTATATTTCACATGATAAGTATCATAATTTAATCAATTCAATTAAAATGTTAAAGATTAATATTCAAAGTGAGTCATCATCCAAGAATTTGAGAACCCTACAACTTGACTGCCCCTGCTTCTCACACAACATTTGTAAACATGACTAAGTCACCTTAATGCTCAACTCACCAAGTGTCTGCCTATAGCTGGATTGAGAGGGGGGGGGGGGTTCTGTAGTTGACAGAGACTGTCCCGCCCTGCCGGCCGACAGCCTCCCTGGCTAGGCTGTCTTCTCTGCTCTGCTGGCTGGCTCCTGTTCTTCTCCTCTTCCCTCCTCTATGCTCTGCTCTCCGAGTATATATTGGGGAACCTAGTAGCTAACTCCACCCACAAGTAGATAGCCTCAGGCACTCTACCAAGCCACTCCTTAAACGTCGGCATGTTTGAAGGCTACCAGGCTCCAATTATAAGATTAGCAGAAGCAAGGTGAAATTCGCATGATCTGACCTCAGGTCACTTGAGGTCATTAACGCTTAGAGGTGTGAGTTTCAGGCCGACAAACTGGCGCCTTCTCAAATCCCTGTCTGTGACTCCTGAATCTCTATGTATTAAATAAAACTAAACCAAACACTTTTATAGTGTTACATGGGGTTGGTGAGGGGAGGTGTGTGTGGGTGGGGTTGGTGAGGGTGGTGGGGTTAGTGGGTGGGGGTTAACACTAGCCACAACTCTCCCAGCTGTCAGCAAGTGGCAACACAGGTCACCCATGGAAGAGTTGGATCACCTGGCCAACCACCTTGTCAATAACATGCCTGTGACTGATATGACCCCTTTCACTTCTCTTCTTCCGGGACATATAAATTCTAAACTCGAGCAAATTTGATGATATGGTTTGTAATACTGTATTCTCATCTCTGTCAGTGATATTTATAAATAAAAGGATTGCCCCCAAAATGGACCCCTGAGGTTTCCTACCACAGGGGTCTTACCACTTACCATATTTCTCCAATCAGATTCATTCCCATTTTACAACATTTTTTGTTTTCTTTGTTTTAATCATTGTTTTAATCATTCTAGTATTCTTCCATTTATTCCATGTGCCTGTAATTTCCGTGCCAGTCTTTCATGTGGTACCTTATCAAAAAGCATTAGCAAAATCCATGTATACTACATCAACCGGAGGTCCTTTGAGTAGCTGGTTACTGTTTCCAAAAATGTGAGCAGGTTTGTAAGGCAGAATCTATTTTTAACAAACCCATGTTGTGTCAATTTTACAAAATTGTTCACTGAAAGATGGTGAATGAATACCTCCCTTAGGATTCTCTCTGTGAGCTTCAAGATGTGTGACGGAAAGCACTCTGGCCTGTATTTCTCCGCCAAGCTCAATCTGCCTTTTTTGAAAATAGGGGTGACATTTGCATATTTCCAATCTAGGCAGACTATCCCTTGGTCCAGAGACTTTGCGAAAAGTTATTTCATTGGTTAAGTTATTCATTTCATTTCATTATTTCATAGTTCTTCTGCCAGTTCCTTTATGACTTTGGATTGTATTCCATCCACACCTGGGGATTTCAAGTCTTTTAATTTGTCATGTTCTTCCTAATTATGTCGCATGTTATGGTTATATTCTTTAATTCATTATCTTCACCTCCTTTAAACATTTGTGTGGGTGATTTGATGTCATTTAACTTTCTAGTGTAAACACTAATGTAAAATGTATTAATTTAATGTGTTTGCTGCCCTCTTGGCGTCCATTATAGTTTGGTTAGTTTCAAGGTCCTACTAAGTCCTTAGTTTTGGTTTTATTTCTTATATAGGCATAGAATGACTTTAGATCTTTCTTTATGTTTTGGACACGTTTTCTTTCGTAGTTTCTTTTTGTTGATCTGATTTCCTGGGTGGCTGAGTTTAGTCCCCTTTTATATATTTTATAATCACCGATGTCCAATGTGGATTTATACGTTCTCCAGAGGTTCCTCTTAGTTATCAGAGCTTGTTTTACTGCCCGAGTCATCCATCTAGTTCCCTTTTGTTTCTTCCCCCCTTTTTGGCTCAAATTTTTTTACCAAGTTCCGTGATGACCTTCTTATAGGTTTGTCATGATGCTTCCATGTCATGTTCAACTATTAGCTCCCTCCAGATGTTTTGCAGGTCTTCTCTCATTCCTTGATAGTCACCTCGATGGTAATCTATAAATTCATAATCATGAACCTTTATGTGGGTTTCTGTTTTTGTAGTAAAATATGGTGATCACTTGAGGGGGATAGTTTTCCCCACCTGAATTTGATCAATCATACCCTCATCTGATGTTAGCACAAGATCTAGTATGATGTTACCTCGTGTGGGCTCTACCACATGCTGTATGAGAAAGGAGTCCTTAACCAGATCTAGAAATTGTTCTTCCTCTGCTTGTGATGTTAGATTTACTAAATCTATCATCTCATGGTTAAAATTCTACTTTATTAGGGATTGGGTTTCTGACGCTGCTTTAATCACATTATGCAGATCAGTAACAACCTCTGCTGCTGCTCTATCATCCCTGAAGCACACTCCCACAGTTATTTTGCTGCTATCTTGAGCTAGTATGTTTCATCATACTTACTCTGAAAATCCCATGGTGTTTAGTTCCTCATTATTAGCTGCATCCAGGACCTCTTTCTCGTATAGCATTACCCCCACCTGCTCTTGTTGTTTTATTTCACCCATTGACTTTCTGGAGTATTTTCCTTGTGGCTTGATCTCTGATCCCCATAATCCCCTCATTTCTCTTAAGGTCTTAGATTCTGGTCCTGGCTTCCAATAAGGTGAGTAAGTCTCAGGAGCCTCACATGACAGGGTCGCTCTGTGATTCCAGTACAATATATATAACATTACATTACAGCAGATTGAGGAAGAAAAGGACCTTGAATTCAACATCCACCACTCAATGAAAGTTGCACAGCAGGTAGGGACAGCAGGCAAAGAAACTAACCAAACACTTGGAATAATCAAGCGTACCTTCGACTTCACGAAAAAGAAGGTAGTGATTTAATTGTATAAACCTCTGGTGCACCCCCACTTGGATTACTGTATCCAAGCATGGAGACCATCTTCAGAAGGACACAACTGCTCTGGAGAAGGTGCAACACTGAGCAACAAAAATCATTCCAGAACCAAGTCAACTCTCATATCAGGAAAGGTTGAGGGCCACAGGGCTAACAACACTGCAAACCATATATAGATGCTTAGGTGCCTCTGTAGATGCTTTCTTACTGACAGGGTTATTAACCCATGGAACTGCCTACCCATCAAAGCTGTAAATGCCAAAACTATGCTAACGTTTAAAGCACAGCGGGAAAAGTTCAACAAGACAATGGGGGTCCTTCAAAAAGCCAACGGCTTCTTGTCACCATTGTGGGGCATTAGTGTTAGTGACTCGAGTAATATATGTGCCAGGGAGCTATTGAGGGAGCCTTGCAACTACACTAAATTTAATTTTTCTTTATGTAATAATATTCAAGTACTGTACATGTACAGCACTGTATGCTACTTAAGGAAATACATTCAATTTTATAAGGATAAATAATTTATGACATTTCATTACCTTTTTCATTTGGTCCTTATATTTGACAAGCTCAGCATCCAATCTAGAGATCTTCTTCTCAACAGAGTCTGCTCTACTATCAACATTTCCAATACAGTCCTGAAGGTTTGGAGGCGGCTCCTTTGCTTTACCACGGCCAAAAAGACGATTCATGGCTGCTCACAAGGATTTGCCAAACCTGAAGTTTATGAACTAATGAAATACATTATATATATAAATACAATAAAAATTTATTTAATGTATATCACAACAATATACAATGTTGTGGTATACAATAAAAGTAACTGTCATTACCATGCAAAAGGAATAAAGACAGTATACAATTTGCACACATTCCTTTGAAACAAAATTATTTATTATCATTATTATTACTTCCCTGAGCCCATTATGTGCCTCTGTAACCCTTGCCACTACCGCCCACAAGATAGGTATGGGGTGCATAATAAATGAACTAAACTCTCAACTATTATTATTAATCCTGGAAGTGGTCAGGTTCATTCTTGATAACCAATTGAGAATTCCGGGTTCGAATCCCGGGCAGGACTGAAATGGTCGAGCATGTTTCCCATCACCTGATGCACCTGTTCACCTAGCAGTAAGTAGGTAGCCAGAAGTTAGTCAGCTTGGTGTGGGGTTGTATCCTGGGGGTATCCAGTAGTTCAACCTTGGGGAAGGAGGTAGCTCGATATAAGCCTAACATGTACTGTATGTATATACTGGCTGCCTGTCCCCGACACAATGAGATTAATTACATCATTAAATTATAAAACTCGACCTTTCTGGAAGCGCCTCTACGCTAGGCCTCCGTCGTCCCTCACCAGCAATATTACACCTTGCCTTAGCTGCTCAGTATATCTCTAGTGGCCTAACCAAGCAGAGTGAAGATGTGAGGACTGCGTTACTGAGACGTACAGGTGAGGAGGAGTGAGGTAGAGCCGAGTGAGGCAGGAAATGAGTGAGGTGCTCGTGACCAGGTGCAGGGTGACGGGGCCTCGGCCGGGCGCTTACTCTCCCACACCCACAACAACACTCATCACCCACTCCTATGTTCTCCCTACACCACACCTCACAAAACCTTAATGCAAAGTGCACATCAACAATGGGCTCGGGACCCACCACAAGTACAGTTTCTAAATCAATCAACTGACATATAACTTGCTTAGCTAAATGAATAGTACTAGTATTACTATTCATAGTAAGCGTACTATAGTGGCTTTACAAGATTGTAAATACTATGCTAATACTATCTCTGGGAATTCTCATTATCTGCTGATGTAGACCTGACCAAATGTAAACTGTGTCAACAAAATTATTCGCACACCCTCCGTCACTATGTGATGGAGTGCGAAAAGATACGTGAATTTAGAGACAATTCTATAACCAATGTTCCAGCGATGTGTAAATATTTCATTCAAAATGATCTGCTACCAGAAATTTTAGCCAAATATCCCCAGTTTGCTAACTGTAGGTAGTAACTAAGTGATTGTACTGCACACCGCCCCCCACTGGATGGGGGGCGGTGTGCAGGACAAACATATCAATTGTGACACTAGCTCTCCACATATGTCAGTTGCTTAATTTAGAAACTGTACTTGAGGTCGATCTCGAACCCATTGTTGATGTGACGACTTATATTGAATTTTGTAACTAGCTCATCAAGATTGTAACTTGCTTAGCTAAATGAATTGTGGGGTTCAGTCCCTGAGCCCATTATGTGCCTCTGTAACCCTTTCCACTACCGCCCACAAGATGGGTATGGGGTGCATAATAAATGAACTAAACTAAACTATGCTATGTATTCTCACAAACCCAATGTACCTTCTTGTATATAAATAAATAAATAAATAAATAAATAAATAAATAAATAAATTGTGGGGTTCAGTCCCTGAGCCCATTATGTGCCTCTGTAAGCCTTTCCACTACCACCCACAGGATGGGTATGGGGTGCATAATAAATGAACTAAACTTAAAAAACTGCAAATTGCACACGTTGCAAAGGTGAAGAAGGACTCCACAAGCCGATTAACTGCCAGAATCAGGTATATGGTTTCTTATGTTAGTTAAGAGCAGGTCACAATCAGTCTCCCTACACTGAGCTCTCTGTAACTAGACATGACAGGGCGAATCTTTATTTATTTATTATATTTATTTATATACAAGAAGGTGTATTGGGTTATGAGAGTACATAATATCATTCTGGCAAAGCCACTAACACACATAGCGGTTCGGGCAAGTCCTTAAGGTAACTGATAAAGGTAAGGGTATTGAATCTTAACGGTCTTAACAGATATCCCTTATCTTATGGGATAAAGAGTCCTGGTAGTATAGTCGGGTTTGTTCTCGACTCACATTCGAGAATTTCATGTTCGAATCCCGTGCGGGACAGAAATGGCTGGGCGAGTTTCCTACAGCCCGTCCCCCTAAGGTTCTTGTTGGCTTAGGGTCGACGATATCCTCCTAAGGTTCCCCAACGTCAAGAAACTGTCGTACTAAAGTGCCCGTATCCTAACCTGCCAGAAAACGGGACAGTATGTCAATTTCGCGAGCCGCTACCATTTTCTAGTACGGCAATTGTTGGCCTAAAGTAGACTATACGTCAAAATGCGACGCTCTATTAATAGGATCCCTGTCCAGAAAATAGGTACCAAGGAGTTAGTCAGTTTGTCATGGGATTGCATTCTGGGGGGGATCAGTAATTCGATGATTTTCCCAGAAGTCTTGGCCAAATATCCCCAGTTTGCTAACTGTAGGTAGTAACTAAGTGATTGTTGAGCTGCGCGAAACTCTTTGCGTAATAGTGGCTTTAGGCATTGTATGTACTACCTCTCTATAAATCCATCACTGTTTTGTATCTCGCCTTGTATGTATGTACTTTACCTAAATAAATATTTGATTTGATTGTAACCTATCGACCACTGCCCACTGGATGGGGGGGCGGTGTGCAGAACAAACATATCAATTGTGACACTAGCTCTCCACATATGTGAGTTGCTTAATTTAGAACCTGTACTTGTGGTCGATCTCGAACTCATTGTTGATGTGACGACTTATACTGAATTTTGTAACTAGCTCATCAAGATTGTAACTTGCTTAACTAAATGAATTGTGGGGTTCAGTCCCTGAACCCATTATGTGCCTCTGTAACCCTTTCCACTACCACCCACAAGATGGGTATAGGATGCATAATAAATGAACTAAACTAAATGACGTGTTTAGTGTGTGTGTTGGTTGACATCCATGAGTGCACTTTTATTTTAATTCGCTATTTACAGCATTATTTAGTGTGTGGGGGGTTGGGGTTTGACTAGATGAAGGTCGTAGCGTCAGCAAATAGTATTGGTTTAAGAATGTTAGAGACAGTTACAAGAATACAAGAGTTCAACATGGGAAACAGCTCAGAGGAAAGACGGCACAAGACAAATACATTTACATGAGTTCTTTCAAGAATGTAAGAATTCTTGTATGAATTCATTATGAACTATAAAAATATATATATAAAAAATTGGCAAATCATTGATTTATATAAAAAATATGAGAGATCCTAAGATGCTTCCCTGTGGCACTCTTACTGTTAATGGTAGAGGGGGGGGGGGGGAGGTTGTCATTGATGGATACAAATGGTTTTATTTTTGGTATTTTTGTAATTTTTAAACTTTTTTTGACAGACAAATGGCGTCTGTCATTAAGATAGGATCGAATATAGCTCAAACTAAGGCCTCGGATTCCATAGTGGTGAAGTTTAAGTAAGAGGTAGTCATGGTTTACAGTATCAAAGGCCTTTCTCTGGTTACTTGGAGGAACAAAGAGGCCATTTGGGAACTAATTTTTGTCAAGGGTTGTGTCCATTATATCAAGCAGACTTTTGGGAACGAAAGCCAAACTGGTAGAGACTTATTAATATGTTTAATTGTACACGGTAAGAGTGGATTTATTTTGATTAACCAGCTTAGGTATACTCAGCAATGTGTTGCTATCTATATGAAAGATTACACAATATAGATCAAAAACCTAGCTATAAGTTCATCTAATAAGAACATAAGAACAAAGGCAACTGCAGAAGGCCTGTTGGCCCATACGAGGCAGCTCCTATTTATAACCACCCAATCCCACTCATATACATGTCCAACCCATGCTTGAAACAATCGAGGGACCCCACCTCCACAATGTTACGCGGCAATTGGTTCCACAAATCAACAACCCTGTTACTGAACCAGTATTTACCCAAGTCTTTCCTAAATCTAAACTTATCCAATTTATACCCATTGTTTCGTGTTCTGTCTTGTGTTGATACTTTTAATACCCTATTAATATCCCCTTTGTTATGTCCATTCACCCACTTGTAAACCTCTATCATGTCACCCCCTAACTCTTCGCCTTTCCAGTGAATGCAACTTAAGCTTTGTTAATCTTTCTTCATATGAAAGATTTCTAATTTGGCGAATTAACTTAGTCATCCTACGCTGGACACGTTCAAGTGAATTTATATCCATTCTATAATATGGCGACCAAAACTGAACTGCATAATCTAAATGGGGCCTAACTAGAGCAAGATATAGATTGAGAACTACACCAGGTGTCTTGTTACTAACGCTGCGATTAATAAATCCAAGTGTCCGATTTGCCTTATTACGAACATTTATGCATTGATCCTTTTGTTTTAAATTCTTACTAATCATAACTCCCAGATCCCTTTCGCAATTCGACTTCGCAATCTCAACACCATCTAGCTCGTATCTTGTAACCCTATCATCATTACCTAACCTCAGAACTTTACATTTATCAGCATTAAACTGCATTTGCCAATCCTTCGACCATTTCAAAACCCTATCTAGATCAACTTGAAGTGATAGTGAGTCCTCCTCCGAATTAATTTCCCTACCGATTTTCGTATCATCGGCAAATTTGCAAATGTTGCTACTCAAACCTGAATCTAAATCATTTATATATATTATAAACAACAGAGGACCCAGGACAGAGCCCTGAGGCACCCCACTTACAACATTTTCCCACTCTGACTTGACTCCATTTATACTAACTCTCTGTTTCCTTTGGTATAGCCATGCCCTAATCCAGCTTAATATAGCACCCCCAATACCATGAGACTCTAACTTTTTAATCAGTCTTTCATGTGGCACTGTATCAAAAGCTTTGCTAAAGTCAAGGTACACAACATCGCAATCCTTACCACTATCAACTGCCTCAACAATGCTAGAATAAAAAGATAACAAATTTGTTAAACATGAACGGCCATTTATAAAACCATGTTGCGACTCAATTATTAATTTATGTTTTTCAAGATGAAGACGAATTTTATTTGCTATTATAGATTCGAGTAACTTTCCCACAATAGACGTTAGGCTAATTGGTCGATAGTTAGATGCAAGTGATCTATCTCCTTTCTTAAAAACTGGTATCACATTAGCAACTTTCCAAAACTCTGGCACTCTGCCTGACTCTATTGATTTATTAAATATGGTTGACAGTGGGTCACAAAGCTCCTCTTTGCATTCTTTAAGCACCCTGGCAAACACTTCATCCGGCCCTGGGGATTTGTTTGGTTTGAGTTTTACTATTTGTTTAAGAACATCCTCCCTGGTAACTGTTAAACTAGTCAACCTGTCCTCGTCCCCACCCACATAGACTTGTTCGGCTGAAGGCATATTGTTAAGTTCCTCTTTAGTAAATACAGATACAAAATATTTATTAAAAATACTACTCATCTCTTCATCACTATCTGTTATTTGACCTGTCTCAGTTTTTAATGGACCTATCCTTTCCCTAGTCTTAGTACGATATAACTGAAAAAACCCTTTAGGATTTGTCTTTGCTTGCCCTGCTATGCGAACTTCATAGTTTCTTTTTGCTTTCCTTATCTCTTTTTTAACATTTCTAACCAGTTGTACGAATTCCTGTTCTAAAGTGACCTCCCCATTTTTAATCCTTTTGTACGAAGCTCTCTTTTTACCTATAAGGTTCTTCAAATTCTTTGTTATCCACTTTGGGTCATTAGTATTCGATCTATTCAATTTGTATGGTATACTACGTTCCTGTGCTTTGTTTAGAATATTCTTAAATAAGTTATATATTGAATCCACATCGAAATCCCCATTTACGTCACCTATCGCTGGGTTCATGTCTCGCTCCAAGACCGGCCCACACCCCATACCCAAGACTTTCCAATCAATTTGACCCCAAAAAATTCTTAGGCTATTAAAATCAGCTTTTCGAAAATCTGGCACTGTAACAGAATTTTCTCCTACAGGTCTATTCCATTCTATGCTAAATCTGATTTCTTTGTGATCACTGTTCCCTAGCTCACTCCCTATTTCGCTGTCATTAATTTGTGTTTCCCTGTTAGTTAACACTAAATCTAAAATATTATTTTCCCGTGTTGGTTCCTTAATGTGTTGCGTAAGAAAGCAATCGTCAATTAATTCTAGAAAATCTTCTGCTTCACTATTCCCTGTTTTGTTCAACCAGTTTATTCCACTAAAATTAAAGTCACCCATGACATAAATACTGTTAGATCTAGATGCCCTAGATATTTCATCCCATAGATGCTTTGCTTCCATTCTGTCTAAATTTGGTGGCCTATATATAACTCCTATTATAATATTATTTGCTTTTTCGTATAATTCTATCCAAATAGTTTCTGTGTGTGGCTCAGTTTTGATTCCCTCTTTGAGACTACATTTCAAATTGCCCCTAACATATATGGCTACTCCCCCTCCTCGTCTAATATATCTATCTGTGTGAAATAGTTTAAATCCATTTATTTCATATTCAGCTAATAGTTCTCTATTTTCTACATTCATCCACGTTTCGGCAAGTGCAATAATATCTATTTTTTTCTGTGCAGACAAGAGCATTTAATTCGTTAATTTTATTTCTTAGACTTCTACTGTTAGTGTAATATACCTTAAGTGAATTGTTATTTTGAGGCCCTTCTCTTTCCCTGATCATTTTGCCAATTCCTTTCTCAAACAAACACGTACTTTTATTATCTCCTTCCTCCAAATCAATTCCCATACCTCTATCAGCTAACAGTTTAAACCCAAACAAACACGTCTAACCACTTCTTCCAACGAGTTCGCAACAGCAACAACCCCAGCTCTCGATAGATGCACCCCATCACGAGCATACATTCCATTTCTTCCATAGAAGTGTTGCCAGTTGTCTATGAAAGATATTGCATTTGATTTGCAATATCTTTCCAGCCGGCAATTGACCCCAATTGCCCTCGACATCCATTCATTTCCTACTCCCTTTCTTGGAAGAATGCCACATATGATCGGGATTCCTCCCTTGCTCCTAACTAATTCAATGACTGTCCTGAATCTCTGTATTAGTTCCTCACTCCTAACTCGTCCAACATCATTACCCCCTGCACTAATACAAATAATGGGTTTGTTCCCATTTCCTGTCATAATATCATTCATGTTTCCAACAATATCACCAATTCCAGCTCCCGGATAGCAAACCCTTAATCTGTTCCCCCTATCTCTGGCACAAAACGTTCTGTCTAAATACCTCACCTGGGAATCTCCCACAACCAAAATTTGCTTCGATTCTCCCTTTTCCTTTCAAGCAGTTTGAGGGACCTGGGCTTCAATGCTCCTCGTTACTTTGTCTTTGCCACCTCGTTGAACAACAGGTTCAACACAGCACTCGTCCTCTAATACGTCAAATGCGTTAATACAGTATTCCCATCTCAGAGGATTAGTCATACATGGAATCAGGGGAAAAAATACTTGCCTCAATACAAAAATAAATTAACTTTGGCTAAATAATAAATTTACTACTTTCAAAGGGATAAACACTAAATCATGGAAATATTATATTATAATTATTTTTACCAGTTTCTATAAAATTCCTCCCATATAATATCTGGAGTTGCTTGTAAATAATTATTTCAAATATTTTTGATAGTATCGGTAGATTTGATATTGGTTTGTCATTGTTTGTCAACTGTCTCGCCTTCTTTATGAACTATAGTAATAATAATAATAGTTTATTTAGGTAAATGTACATACAAACAAAATAAGTTACAAGCCAGAGTTCTCTAGCATGCATGTATACACTGGCTGCCTGTCCCCTGACACAGTCAATTATCACGGTACATTTTGAAGTACGTCACGGTACAAACAGTACATTCTGAAGTACTTCACTGTACAAACGGTACATTTTGAAGTACGTCACGGTACAAGCAGTACATTCTGAAGTACTTCATGGTACATATTGAAGTACTTCACTGCACAAACAGGATATTATCGAGTATTTCACATACAAACGGTACATTTTGAAGTACTTCACGGTACCAAGTATATTCTGAAGTGCTTCTCGCTACAAACGGTACTCTTTGGTACTCTATTGTGCAAACGGTACATTTTGAAGTACCTCACGGTACAAGGAGTACATTCTGATGTACTACATGGTTCAAACAATACATTCTGAAGTACATATCACAGTACATTTTGAAGTAGCTAGTACTGTACTGTACTTCACTGTAGAAATTGTACATTTTGAAGTACTTCACCGTACATATAATACAATACATAAGAACTTCACTGTACAAACGGTACATTTTGAAATAGTTCATGGTATATACATAGTACATTGTGAAGTAGGTGAGAGTACCAGGTAAATTCAGGTACAAAGGGTACATTGACGGGAGGGCCAGGTAGATTGGGCTACTTACAGACCCAATTTGGGCTACAAAGAGACCATATTTGGGCTACTTATAGCCCAATTGAACAGCTCTATTACTTACTAATCAAATCAAATGTTTATTTAGGTAAGGTACATACATACAAGATATTGTACAAAGAGTGATGGATTAATAGATAGAGCTAGTACATACAATGCCTAAAGCCACTATTACGCAAAGCGTTTCGGGCATGAAAAACTTAAATGACTAAAGCTTAATACTAATTGAGCATAAAGAATAAAATGAGATGAGAACAAAATAAAAAAAAGAGATAAAAAGGGAGGAACATGGCTGAAAAAGCAGCACAAATACAATTCGGACTATGTACTATTCGGCTAATATTACAATAAGCTGGGGGTGTACTCTGAAAAACAAATCAGTTGCTGAAAAAACACATGATTTGGCTACTTTTATAGTAAAGTTTGTGACTATTAATTGTTGAGGACGCGAGTTTGAGGAAGTGAGAGGAAGCATCGCTGGAGCTCCGGGAGGTGGCAGCAGGAGCGGCCGCCGCTCACAGTTCAAACACTCCCCAACGGCCCCCTCGCTCCTCCTGCTGCTGCTGCTGCTGCTACTGCTGGTACTGCTGCTGTTACTGTTCCTGCTGGTGGTGGTGGAGTGCCTGGGTACCTGTGTCCTGGTAGTAGCCGTCCCACGTGGCCCCAGGGGCACAGTGAAGGGCACCATCGCTGATAGTGCTGGTGCTGGGGCAGCCTCACAGGTGATTTGACGCAGCTGCCTCTCTTATTTATTTATTTATTTATTTATATATATATACAAGAAGGTACATTGGGATTGTGAGGATACATAGCATAGTAATTACATTCTTGTAAAGTCACTAGTACGCGCAGCGTTTCGGGCAGGTCCTTAATCTAAGAAACTAGTAAGTAGGTAAATACTTGCAAAATTTATAAAAATGATGCAGTTACATAGCATGAATCTTCGTGGTGAAGGGACCCATATGCGGCTAGGCTGTGTGGGCTGGACTGGGGCTGGGCTGAGGGCTGGGGCTGGGCTGAGGGCTTGGGTTGGGGGCTGGGGTTGGGGTTAGGCTGAGGGCTGGGGGCTGGGCTGGGGCTGAGGGCTGGGGTTAGGCTGAGGGCTGGGGGCTGGGCTAGGGCTGGGCTGGGGCTAGGGCTGGGCTGGGGTTGGGCTGGGCTGGGGTTGGGCTGAGGGCTGGGGTTGGCCTGGGGGCTGGGCTGGGGCTAGGCTGGGGCTGGAACTGCACTTAGCGGGGCTTGCGTCATATTGTGCTGGTTTTTAAATCCATGAGTGAGGTGTCTGGTACAATGTCAACCCTAACCTAACCCACCCCACCCCAGTCTAGCCCAATTCCAGCTTAATACTGTATATACAATTAAGAATTGGAAAATGAGTTGTGTGAAACATGTGTGGACAATTTGACCACAGTACCCTGATTATAATTGACCTTTTGAAGAATGATCAGAATGAACATTCCTCCAAATTGTTCAGTATTTTGAACGTTTCACTGAGATCCGCCCTGTCATGCCTGGCTTGAAGTGTTGTTAACCCTGTGGCCCTCAACCGTTCCTGGTACGAGAGTTGACTTACCTCGATCTGGAGCAATTTTTGTTGCCTGGTGTTGCACCTTCTCCAGAGCAGCTGTCCTGAACATGAGGTCTCCGTGCTTCGATACAATAATTGAAGTGTAATTATGTAATCCAAGTACAATAATGTACCAGAGATTTATACAGTTGCATAACTGCCTGCTTTTTCTTTAAGTCGAAGGTACTCATGATTATCCCTGGGGCTTGGTTTCATTTAACATAGTAAAGACCTACAGTACTACATTTTATTTGGAAGTAAATCACACATTCATTCGCGCCATACATTCTCTTGTGCTATTTACACGTACAAATCGTTGTTCCTGAATGCTAATCCTGATCTGAAACTCTTCCATGACAGATGTAATAGAACCTATAAGCACCACCACAGGTAAATATCTTTGATGTCCCCAGAGTCAAATTAAATCTGTGTAAACACTCCATGCAAATAAAAGCACCCAGTCTATATCACTCACTCTCTAATGACATGAAAAAATGAAATTAATAAAATTAAATTAATAAGTCAAATTTTTTTTCCAATCTATGCCTTATTCAAAAGTAAAACCAAAGAGTACTTAATTTCATCCTCAAAGTTTCCTAGCCTGTGAGCCGGAGGGAGGGTCGCCGGTCGGCCGAGTGGACAGCACGCTGGACTTGTGATCCTGTGGTCCCGGGTTCGATCCCGGGCGCCGGCGAGAAACAATGGGCAGAGTTTCTTTCACCCTATGCCCCTGTTAACTAGCAGTAAAATAGGTACCTGGGAGTTAGTCAGCTGTCATTGGCTGCTTCCTGGGGGTGGAGGCCTGGTCGAGGACCGGGCCGCGGGGACACTAAAAAGCCCCGAAATCATCTCAAGATAATTCGAGAAGAGTTCAAGATAACTGTGCTTCAAACTCCCACTGTCTTGTGCTACCCACTTCCCCTAATATTAGTACTAGTGCTTAAGACATGCATCTTTACCAGTGCAATCATCCCCCCTGTCAATTTATATTGTAGTTATGTTGAACTTAAATTTTGCTACAATGTATCTCTTCATATTAACTTGTGTTAGTTTAAGGACCTGCCTGAAACACTGTATGTTAGTGGCTTTGTAAGACTGTAAGAACAATGTTATGTACTCTCACACACCCAATGTGCCTTCTTGTATATAAATAAATCAATAAAAATAATGTATATGAAGGTAATCATGGTGGTTTCAGTTAATTTACAGCACCTTAATAGCTCTTGCCAAGTAAAGAAATATAATATTACTATGCAAAGTTTGTGAAATGATTTTAATGGAAATTTAATACTGTATATAGTTCTTATACATTAAGGGGATGTAAAATGTTTCTCAAACTTCCTCAAACCCCTTCAATTTTTGTTTTGCATAATCTACATGGCAAATGCTCCAACTTTTTCTAAATGATCACCAACGTAACATGAGAACCAAGAAAAAAATATATATAATATTTATATAAAAAATTGAAAATTTCAGATTTCAAATCGACGTTAAAATGTAAAGGACAGTTTTAGTTAGTTTTAGTTTAGTTCATTTATTATGCAACTCCAAAAGTTTGGCATTTATGAAAAATCCATGTAACGACATTTTAGAAGAGAGCTTTGCACACTGTGTGAAAATGGTGATAATCGGTCAAAAAAGGACTTTTTGATGCTGACTCAAAGTTGAAATTCCTATTTTAGAGATACTCTACTATAATTGAAGAATCATTTGTACTGAAATACAGTACAGGTATGTGAAAGTTGTAGGTCAATGTAAGAAAAAATAACTTCAAAAAACAAAATATAGGTATACTGTAATTATAATGGGTTAGGGGATATATAAGTATACTTTAAATAGGTGATAAAGCCCTAATCTGGTCCCCATTCAGCAAAACAACCTAATGAGACAAAGAAAATAGTTTGAAATCTGTGAAAAAATTGGCCCAAAAAAATTAAGTCAAATTCTGCCACCTGTGGCTGAATTACATGTTGACCAATTTCATTCACACTGCACATACTTAGTGACGGGTATGCATTCTTCAAGATGTAGAAGCCACAACAAAATCAAATAAGAAACAAAGGAGAAATCCCCCCCCCCCCCCAAAAAAAAAAAATAATGGAGGACACAAGAAATATTGGCATTGGGAAAGTTATTTATATGATATATAATAAAATACAGCAAACAGTATTTACAGTACTACAGTAGTAAAATACAGTACTTAATCATTATTATTTGTGAAATTTTGTCGTCTAGGTGGCAATCGGCCATCCTAGAAGGCACCAGTTGCATACCCACTCATACTACTACTACTACTACTACTCTTCTGTGTGTCGGACAAGTGCTGCATCTCTTTATCACTGCAGTATTATGAATTCCACTAACTAGGTGTTATTGTTAACAGTACCAGTTGCACACTTTTTTTTTAATTCATATAAAATCCATTTCTTAGCATATTGGGATGTAATTTTCACAATAATGATGCCAAATAACGTTGACTTTTTTAACATTTTATACTACAGTATATATCATATGTGGATGAATTTTTTTTTATTGTTTTATGTCCCCTTAAAACAATCCTGCTGCACTGTAATATGAAATATATTAATAGCTGATATGAAACCTGTCGGTCTTCTGACAATTAGATCTCTTTGTTTAAACTTTTCAGGAGCATGTTTATGACACCTGGAAACCTGCAGGTGTCTGCTGGTGTTGGCGGCACTGCCTGTACATTGGTGAAGGTGTACGTGCGTACACGTCCTCTTCTTCAACAAGAATTAGAAAATGGAGCAAAAAACATCTTGGATATTTATCCCTCTGACAAGCAGGTATCTGAATACTGTAATGTATAAGCTATCGATTATATTAGGTATACAAGATTCTTGTAGTATCCTTAGCATACATACATGGTAAGGCCTCCTTGCCTCCTATTAGGAGGTCGTGGATACAAACAGATTGGCACTTTAACGGCCTTCTGGAACCAATTGAGTTAGAGTTCCGAGGTTCCACTTGTATCCTTACCCTCATTCTGCATTCTGGAACATAATTAATAAAAACATTTCTGAATCATTATAGTTTTAAAGATTTCTCAGCATTCTCCAGTGGTGTGATCAATGTAAATATCCCTATATACCACCTAAATCCGGACCTTACAACAGATTCCTCGATACTTCGGACTGAATTTAACCACTGGATCTTCCTTCCAAATGTTGAATGTTTCAGAAAAAAGTCCAGATTTCAAGTGGATCCTTGTGAAATTCCAATCATTAGGCAAAGTAATGTCCTGCACATATTTTTACTAAAAAAAAATTCAAATATTTCTGGATAAACAAAAAAGGGAAGATTTCTAAAAAAAAAACTCAAATATCATGCAAATCTGGATCAGGTGTAGAATGTTATGCTGTACAACAATCCAGATGATGGAAGTGCATATGTACACCCTGGAAACACAAACCGAAACTGTCTCTATTTTCCACTTGTTACAACTTACAATAAAGTTGTTACATCTTGGCTTAACGTGTTTATGACGTACTAGAACGTTGTTACAACTTGCTATATGGGTTGTTATAACCGGTTAGGTGATAAAACTTGTTAGAACGTTGTACCAACGTCGTAGTTTCGGTGTGTGTTTGACGGGCATTGTGTTATATAGTGAGGGGCATGATGTTTTATAATATGTGCTGTCCCCCATTTGATTAATAATTTTTTTTTAATTTTTCAGGTAGTGGTTGATGGGGCTGATAAAATATTCCAGTATGATGATGTATTTCAAGACAGTTGCTCACAAGATGAAGTATATAGGACGGCAGTGGCACCTCTGGTGGCCAAGGTAGAGAGTGGTCACAATGCGACAGTTTTCGCATATGGCCAAACTGGATCAGGAAAGACATTCACCATGGGCACAAATCCCTGTATTGCAAAGGTTAATTTTATTTGTATTTAAGTTTGTCTTATGAACTGGGTTAATTTTCCTATAGTGAGTTTTTTGTCATTAGTTTCACTTCTCATATTTGCCTAATTGATAAGATAAAATGGAGGCCAAAATTAAGTTTAGTATATACTAAACCTTTAATTACTTTATATTAATACTATCTATGACATGCAGGTTTATGTAAGATTTGTTTAGTATTGGTGCTGATATCACAACACTGCTTACAGGATGGTGAAGGCATTTTACAAAGAGCAATGCAGGCTCTCCTTGGCAAGGATGAGAATCATCAGCCGTCACAAGACATGGGAACTGAGGGTTCGCGGAGTCTCAAGATCTCGATGATGGAGGTCTACAATGAGGCCATCTTTGACCTCTTGGGCCCAACCAGAGTGTCTCTGGAAACAAAACCTGCAACTGATGGAGGTAGGATTATGATGGTGAATCGTAATATTTGTGGTAGGAATATTTGTTCATATTTAGATGAACAAATATGCTTATATTTGTTCATCTAAATCTGTAGTAAGGTTGGACAGTAACCATGTAAGGCCTATTATGTAAATGTTAATTACTGTATTTCATAGTTTATCATGTGAGTTTTTACTGAAACTTCTTTGCTAATTTAGTCAGTCTTAATGTTGTGACATTTGTTCATTTGTAAAAGTTTGTTTTAATTATTTGAAATAAATGATCATATTTTATGCAATCGCTCCTTAACTTTGTATTATAACTCGGTGCGGTTTCATGTTCTGAGTGTGTAGGTGGGTTTGTGTATGTTCTCTCCTGTTTGTCTGATTTCAAAGTAGTGGTCAGTGGGTGAATCATTCCGTTGGCTATGGAAGACATTTGGGTTTTCACAGGTGGATCCATTCACTTTGTGGGATTAGTCCCCCTCCCCCCTGCTAGTGTGGTGTGGAGGCATTTTTATTTTTACTGGTGTCAGTGGAATTTTCTGTATCTTTTCCTCTGGTCTGGGGCTTCTCCTTTGTCTTGATCAACAGGGCTGGTTTATAGTCACCTGTAAGGGGACCAGATGACTAGTTTTGTCACATTTATAGCTTTCGTTGGAGCAGTATAGGGTGGATTGACAGGCCTATTGCCTCCTGCTTCTTCAGCCATTTTCTCCTGTCTGTTCCAGTGGTTGTTTTTTCTAGCTTGGATCTCATTGGATGGCCTGTTGATGCTTACACTGTTACCTCTAACCATTCAGCCATGGCCCAGTTCATCTTATTGGCATTTGTGGTTGATGTATGTTCATCCCCTTCCTTTAAGATGGCAGGCTTTCTTTCACCTCTGGCTGGCCAATTACAGTGCATCGTGCCCGGCCCCATTGGAGGTGCATCGTGCCCTGTCCCATTGGAGGTGGGTCGTGCCCTGCTCCATTGGAGGTGCTGTCATTTTTGCATACTCCACAGGAGCTCATGTGGATGCACTGTTTGTTAATCCTGTGATGTTGGTCACTTGTTCTCTGGCTTGCTTTTTTCTGATGGTTTGACATGTCGTCTGGTTTAGCCATCCTGAGGCTTATCCTTATGCTCTTGTGTGCAACTTAATGGCTCTTGTTAGCCTTCTTTGTCAATGTCTTCCATGGTGAATATTCAGGTTGGAGATTTTTGGTGCTATAACAGGATGCTGGCTGCTTGGTAAATGTCTCTTGGTTGATTCACCTTGTTGCTGAGTAGCTGTGTCTGTTCTTTGTCTTTTTCTCCCCCTTTTCAAGGTAAGCCCTGGCCGATTTATTTTATTTTTAGGATCGTCTGATATTGTAATGGCTGTATAATGAGGTAGCATTGGGGAGCATTTGTTAAACTACTGCAGTGGTTTAACACTGTGCAGTGCTTCTTGCCCATGATAATCATAGACAGATCATACATATGAAAAAAATTTAGTTTTTTACCATCCTAGGACTGTTAGTCTGACTTTAATGGACCTGTTTGTGGCATCGCCTTCAAGTGGCGCCCGAGGCACGTGCCACACTTGCCGTACACCACTGTATAGCAAACATTCAAAGTTTTGTTTAGTGTATTCTCTTTAAAGTTTGCTTCCAAATTCAAAGTGCTGTGCTGTTCTGGCTTGTGTAATATATGATTATTTTTCTATGACAATTTAACAGTGGTACAATTTATTTCTTAAATTGCATCAAAGGTATGTCAGCAGTTGGAATGGTGGAGAAGGAAATAAAAAGCATTGAGGAAGGGCTAATATTTCTAGAAAAGGGGAATAAATTACGAAGTGTCGGATCAACGGCGATGAATCAGCATTCTTCACGCTCCCATGCTGTTATATACCTCACATTAAAAGTAAGTGTTTTTCTTATATGTCCTCTCTGTTGTGGCTATTTGTGAAATGTCAGTTATGCCCAGTACTATACTCTACTGCTGCTTCTTACTGGTTGGCCTTGGCACTGTCTTGCTTTGTTTGTTGGTTGGCCTTGGCACTGTCTTGCTTTTTTTTGGGTGAAGGTTTCTTCTTCCCCTTTCAAGTTGCCTTGGTAGCTCCCCATGCCTGCCCCCCTTTAAACCCTACTTCCCCGTGGGGGCTTTGGGCAGTGTGTTAGTTGGGGAGGCAGGTGGAACCTTGGGGTGACCTGAGCTGCCCTCTGCTTGCTCACTGGTATACTAGTGCTTGATTTGTTGGCATCAAGCAAAATACTGCATTCCTTAGTTCTGTCTTTCCTTTCTTTCATGAAGATACATAACTTGTTTTGCTTTGCCTGCATGGTATCATCTGGTCATTTTATTTCGTTATCGGGTTGTTTAGATCTCTGCTTCTTTTGTCTCCGAGCACACCAGATTATGGTCCCGGTGATGGGTAGGCCCGTACAAATCTAGAAGTCTGGTAGCTGGCTTTGTCTGGTACTAAAGCCAGTGGTGTTCAGTAGGCCTGCACAATTCCAGAAGCTTGGTGCTTAACTTGCCTATCAGTGTTTACCTATCAGTGACGATGGAGGAGTGAGATCTAGCTCTTTATGCCCTGCCACCTAGCTGTTTATTCCTGCTGTGCTAATTATCTTTTTAATCATTACCATTTTCATCATATTTTGTCTTAAAAGTTGTGGATGGAATTGCTTCAACAATCTCTTCCTTCGATGCATTCCACTTGCCGACCATCGTTACCTGGAATGAGAACTTCCTGGCATCTCTTCGACTCTATTGCATGTGCAGCTTCCATTCTTATTCCCCCCCTTGTCCTACCTCTAATTAGTTTAAATAGCCTTCCGTTATCCACTTTATTTTCCCTAAAGATCTTTTACATAGTTATCATATTCCCTCTGTTTCTTATCTCCTAAAGTTGTGAGGCTGAGTTTTCTCATCCTGTCCTCATAGGTGAGGCCTCTGAATTCTGGTACCAACCTACTTGCAAACCTCTAAACTCTCAAGCTTGTCTTTATGCTTAACAAGGTGGGTATTCCATGTTGGTATACTTAAAGTTATTGTTTCATGTAAGCAGTGTGTATGGACTTGAAAGCCTCCTTGTTTTGATTCTTAAATGATCGTCTTATGTTTGGTAACTTCCCACATGCTTCTGATGTTATCCTCTCAACATGAGCTTTTGGTGTTAATGTTGGGATTGTCTACTCCAATGTCTATTTCTCTTATTGTTTAATTTTCTTTTCCTTATGATGTAATTAAATACAGTTCTCATCCATTCTACCTATTTTCATTAATTTACACTTATTTGAATTGAATTCCAATAACCATTTATCTACTCCTGAAGTTTGCCAAAATTTTCTTGCAGCACCCTACAGTCCTCTTCACTTCTTACTCTTCTCATTAACTTGGCATTATTTGTAAACATCAACATGTATGAGCTCACTTCCTCTGCAAGATCATTTACATAAATTAAAACGAGTAATGATCCCAGGACATCTTGTTCAAATATTCCTATACCCAGTTGCCCAGCCACTTGGGCTGGACGGTAGAGCGACGGTCTCGCTTCGTGAAGGTCGATGTTCAATCTCCAACTGTCGAAGTGGGTGGGCACCATTCCTCTCCCCCTTTCCATCCCAAATCCTTATCCTAATCCCTTCCAAGGCCTATATAGTCGTAATGGCTTGGTGCTATATCGTGATAGTTCTCTCCCGTATTCTGTCCAGTGTCTTTCTGTTATCCCTGCTTGTCTCTGCACTTTGTGCAATGGTCTCTTGTGAGGAATTGCATGAAAAGCTTTTTGGCAATCTAGAAAGATGTGTACTTATCCTTCCTTCTCTTGTCTTATTTTGGTGAACCTGTCATAGAATTAAGTGAAAATGGCTAAACATGGTAATTGTGTGGCTGTCTCTGGAATCGGAACCACTGTTGAGCTACTGAGTATGCCCAGTAAAGGGGATTTCTTTACATTCAATGCTTTCTTTTTTGGGGGGATCATTGCAGAATGGCAAGCATTGTGGATGCCTCAAGCTCGTCGACCTAGCTGGAGCGGAGGGTGTTGGCCGAGCACAGACGTCGGGACAGAAGTTTACTGAAGGTGTCAACATTAACAAAGGCTTGCTAACACTAGGAAAGGTTCTGTCTGCACTAAGCAGCATAACAGTTGTTCATGTTCCTTACAGGTATGATACAATTTTAGTACTCTTAGACATTCCTCCAATCTGATTACACGTACTTAGGTTCCAGTCGTGATTGGATATGTACAGTAGTCGTGATTGAATATTTAGTTGAATCCTCCCAGCCACAAAAAGTTATAATGTTGTGTACAAAAGTACATGACAGTACATTATAGCTTCACTAGATACTTTAACCAAGCACCACAAAATATTGTATTGGTAATAACACAGCCTTGCCTCCTAAAATGGCAGTATGTGCTTACAGTAATTATGTGGCTGATAGTACAAATGTCATGATGGCTCAGGAGAAAGTAGACTTTTGTATTATTGAATTTGAACAGACTGAAAGTTTTCTATTTGTTGCTAATAAAACCTAGCCATCTTAAGCCTAATATAGTGCATACATGTGCTATACTAGGCCTAAGAATATTTAAGTTTGGTTTTTAGCTTAATTTTTCCAGACTATATAAAATACAAAAATTGGCTTACTGGGGCTACATACCAAAGTTGCTGGCTGTGGTGGAGTGAGGAAAGCTCACAAGGACATTACAATTCACAAGTGCTCATGGAACAATTGTTCAGCCGAGCCTTGCATATTGCATCACCTGAGATATGGAAAAAGTTTAAAACTAGTTCACCTGAGGGAGGAATCGCCAGCATCAGAGAAGATAAGTGTTTGCTTATAACCTTTGCTAAACAGCATACCAGGGATGCTAATTCTAAAACCACAACTCAAGTCGATTAAAATACAAGAAACTCGACTGACAAAGTACTCACAAAAAGTAATTATTTAGGAAAGCCAATGCTTAACTATGACAACAGAAAACCAGTTACTGAGGAAAATGAACTAGTGAGAGGTTTTAGCACCAGAGGAGTGTAATGGGCTGGGTGGCCCCAGACCCCTGGTAGACTAGCACTGCAGGGGGAAAGCAGCAAGGTGATAATTTGCTTGTTTGAATAATTTTGAGTTTTGTTTGGTGTTCTGTCAAAACTATTTTCTGCGAGTGTCTTGATTTTTTGCATTTTATCTGCCTTTCTTGGGAGCCCCATGGTGGTTACTGGAAGCCATCTTGCTGAGATGGCTCCATACTGGTGGGTCACATCAGTCAGGAAAGATGTTTGGCCTACTGAGGATGGAGCCACAATCTAGGCCCCTTCAGAGGTGCAGGGAGCGAGTGACACTTCACCACACCACAGGGAAAGCGTCCGGAAAGTTGGCAAAACATTTTAGACAACTGGAAGGTTCACAGAAAGTGAAACCTTGAACCTGCCAAGCAGCTCTGTAAAAGAGTTGCAGAGTTGCTTGAAACAAGGGCTTCTTTCAAACTAGCTAGAAACTTCTTAGTACTGAATCCCCACAACCAGGGGGGCCTGACCACCGCTCTCGGCCAACAGGTTAAGCATGTTTAATGAATATGGTATGGTGATAATATCTGGACCTTCTTCAGTTTTGATATGCATGTCTTTGGGTATTATTGCAAATTTAATAATCATGTGTGCATATCTTTAACCCATGTTAGTGTGAAACAGTATTGATGATATTAGATTGATATGTTTTTTCATATTTTCAGGGACTCTATATTGACAAGACTTCTTAAAGATTCTCTTAGTGGAAACTGCCAAACTGCAATGATTGCTTGTGTGAACCCCGCAGACTTCAACAAGTATGAGACAACGAATACATTACGATATGCTGAGCACGCTAAAAATATCAGACTGAAACCTCAAGCCTTATCCACTGTCAAGGTATGTTATGATTTTTTATCCTTCCTAGGCTGGAGTTGACCTCTCCCACTATGTGAAAAGCCTCATAAGAGCAGCATAAAGAACACCACCAGTTCAGTAGTGGTTATAGATTTTCACTATCATTGCTCCAATAGAATAGAGCAACTTCAAAAGTGTGTGCATTGGCAGGTGTGTTGGTATGGCATGACCTATTGTTTTGATGGGTGGTGTTTAGTAGCTTGACTGCTTGACACACCTCCCTGACAAGAAGGTACATTGATTACCATTTCATGTTGCTTTTGCTATATTTTTCCTTTCTCCTTCATGGCTATATTTTATGTTGCCTGCATTGCAGGTTCCCGTGCTTTGTATTTAACTTTGATTATGGTTCTGGGTTCACTTCCTAAGTAGTTAATTGGCCTGCATTTACCCTGGCCCACTAAAATAATTAAAACTAAATGGGTAGAACACTTGGAGAAAAATGATATAATGACAGACAGACTGTATGGTTTTCAATCTGGAAGATCCTGTGTAAGGAATTTACTCAGTTTCTATGATAGACCCAGAGATTTTACAAGAAAGAGATGAATGGGGTGACTGCATGTATCCGGACCTAAAAAGTGCTTTCAACAGAGTTCCCTATGAGAGGTTGTTCTGGAAACTGGAACATACTGGAGGAGTAACAGGTAACCTTCTAACATGGATGACAAATTTTCTGACAAAAATGAGGACAGTAATTAGAAGCAATATATCAAACTGGAGAGATGTCACGAGTGAAGTACCACAGGGTTCAGTTCTTGCACCAGTAATGTTCATTGTCTACATAAACAATCTATCAGGTGGAATTCAGAATTATATGAAATGTTTGCTGATGATGCTAAGATAATAGGGAAGGAAGATTAGAAACTTAGACGATTGTCATGCCCTTAAAGAAGACCCGGACTTGGATTCATAAAGCAGTTACGCAAGGACTTGTGAACATGTACATCTTTCCTCATTCTTTGACACCTTTGGTTACATTTATTAAACGGGTTACAAGCATGAAAACTTCCCAATCGACTGTTGCTATTGTTATAACTTTGGTGCTTCGGAGCTCATTAATTGTTTAATAATTGTAAACAATGCCACCAAAGATTGAGAAAAGATCTACAGGTTCGTAAGTGCTTGCGTAACTGCTTCGTGAATCCGGATCTTGGACAAAAACAAGTGTATTGAGCACAACCAGGCAAATGAAATTTAATGTGAATGAATGCCATGTTATGGAATGTGGAATAATAGAACAGACTTCACACAACCTAAAAATTGTGAGAAATCTTGAAAGAATTCTGATAAAGAACAGGATCTAGGGGTGGTTCTAGGTAGAAAACTATCACCTGAGGACCACATAAAGAACATCGTGCAAGGAGCCTACCTATACTTTCCAAATTCAGAATTACTTTTAAATATATGAATGGTGAAATACTAAAGAAATTGTTCACAACCTTTTATTAGACCAAATTGTAATATGCAGCAGTTGTATGGTGCCCATATCTGAAGTACATCAACAAACTGGAAATGGTGCAAAGACTGGCAACTAAATGGCTCCCAAAACTGAAGGACAAGAGCTATGAGGAGAGGTTAGAGGCATTAAATATGGCAAAACAGGAAGATAAAGAGAGTCAGTATGATGTTGACCAGACCACACACTAGAAAGTGAAGGGATGACAACGTTTCGGTCCATCCTGAACCATTCTCAAGTCGATTGTGAGAATGGTCCAGGACGGACCAAAACTTCGTCGTCCCTTCACTTTCTAGCGTGTGGTTTGGTCAACATATTTCAGCCACGTTATTGTGACTCCTCATCTGCACAGGCAGTATGATCATTCCGTTCAAATGGTAACTGGAATTTATAAAATTGATAGGGAAGAATTCTTGGGACCTGAAACTTCAAGAACAACAGGTCATAGATTTAAACTAACTAAACAAAGTTGCTGAAGAAATAAAAGAAAATTAACTTTTTGCAAACAGAGTTGTAGATGGTTGGAACAAGTTAGGTGAGGTGGTGGAGGCCAAAAAAATCAGTAGTTTCAAAGCGTTAAATGATAAGAGTGCTGGGAAGACGGGACACCATGAGCGTAGCTCTCATCCTGTAACTACACTTAGGTAATTACTTGAGATAGATGCTAAGGTGTTGAGGTTTTTCCTTTTTGAGCATCCTCACTTCCAGATAGTGCATGAGACTTGTTCTCCACAGGTAGGCCTGTTGATGGGGAAGTGTAGTAGTTAGCTGCGTATTGTCTTGTCTTGCTGTGATAATGCCTAAAATAGAGCAACTTCAAAAGTGTGTGCATTGGCAGGTGTGTTGGTATGGCATGACCTATTGTTTTGATGGGTGGTGTTTAGTAGCTTGACTGCTTGACACACCTCCCTGACAAGAAGGTACATTGATTACCATTTCATGTTGCTTTTGCTATATTTTTCCTTTCTCCTTCATGGCTATATTTTATGTTGCCTGCATTGCAGGTTCCCGTGCTTTGTATTTAACTGATTATGGTTCTGGGTTCTCTTCCTAAGTAGTTAATTGGCCTGCATTTACCCTGGCCCACTAAAATAATTAAAACTAAATGGGTAGAACACTTGGAGAAAAATGATATAATGACAGACAGACTGTATGGTTTTCAATCTGGAAGATCCTGTGTAAGGAATTTACTCAGTTTCTATGATAGACCCAGAGATTTTACAAGAAGAGATGAATGGGGTGACTGCATGTATCCGGACCTAAAAAGTGCTTTCAACAGAGTTCCCTATGAGAGGTTGTTCTGGAAACTGGAACATACTGGAGGAGTAACAGGTAACCTTCTAACATGGATGACAAATTTTCTGACAAAAATGAGGACAGTAATTAGAAGCAATATATCAAACTGGAGAGATGTCACGAGTGAAGTACCACAGGGTTCAGTTCTTGCACCAGTAATGTTCATTGTCTACATAAACAATCTATCAGGTGGAATTCAGAATTATATGAAATGTTTGCTGATGATGCTAAGATAATAGGGAAGGAAGATTAGAAACTTAGACGATTGTCATGCCCTTAAAGAAGACCCGGACTTGGATTCATAAAGCAGTTACGCAAGGACTTGTGAACATGTACATCTTTCCTCATTCTTTGACACCTTTGGTTACATTTATTAAACGGGTTACAAGCATGAAAACTTCCCAATCGACTGTTGCTATTGTTATAACTTTGGTGCTTCGGAGCTCATTAATTGTTTAATAATTGTAAACAATGCCACCAAAGATTGAGCAAAAGATCTACAGGTTCGTAAGTGCTTGCGTAACTGCTTCGTGAATCCGGATCTTGGACAAAAACAAGTGTATTGAGCACAACCAGGCAAATGAAATTTAATGTGAATGAATGCCATGTTATGGAATGTGGAATAGGAGAACAGACTTCACACAACCTAAAAATTGTGAGAAATCTTGAAAGAATTCTGATAAAGAACAGGATCTAGGGGTGGTTCTAGGTAGAAAACTATCACCTGAGGACCACATAAAGAACATCGTGCAAGGAGCCTAGCTATACTTTCCAAATTCAGAATTGCTTTTAAATATATGAATGGTGAAATACTAAAGAAATTGTTCACAACCTTTTATTAGACCAAATTGTAATATGCATCAGTTGTATGGTGCCCATATCTTAAGTACATCAACAAACTGGAAATGGTGCAAAGACTTGCAACTAAATGGTTCCCAAAACTGAAGGACAAGAGCTACGAGGAGAGGTTAGAGGCATTAAATATGGCAAAACAGGAAGATAAAGAGAGTCGGTATGATGTTGACCAAACCACACGCTAGAAAGTGAAGGGATGACAACGTTTCGGTCCATCCTGAACCATTCTCAAGTCGATTGTGAGAATGGTCCAGGACGGACCAAAACTTCGTCGTCCCTTCACTTTCTAACGTGTGGTTTGGTCAACATATTTCAGCCACGTTATTGTGACTCCTTGCCTGCACAGGCAGTATGATCATTCCGTTCAAATGGTAACTGGAATTTATAAAATTGATAGGGAAGAATTCTTGGGACCTGAAACTTCAAGAACAACAGGTCATAGATTTAAACTAACTAAACAAAGTTGCTGAAGAAATAAAAGAAAATTAACTTTTGCAAACAGAGTTGTAGATGGTTGGAACAAGTTAGGTGAGGTGGTGGAGGCCAAAACCATCAGTAGTTTCAAAGCGTTAAATGATAAGAGTGCTGGGAAGACGGGACACCATGAGCGTAGCTCTCATCCTGTAACTACACTTAGGTAATTACTTGAGATAGATGCTAAGGTGTTGAGGTTTTTCCTTTTTGAGCATCCTCACTTCCAGATAGTGCATGAGACTTGTTCTCCACAGGTAGGCCTGTTGATGGGGAAGTGTAGTAGTTAGCTGCGTATTGTCTTGTCTTGCTGTGATAATGCCTAACCCTGCACCTTGTACATATTAGGGCGTTGCTCTTTTACCAAGGGTCGGCTAGGATTGTGTACAGTGGTACCTGTACTTCGGTTTACGAACACTCCTGTTTACGAACTTTTCGGGTTACGAGCCCGATTTGTTTGAAAAATTTGAATCAGGATACGAACTTTACCTCGGGATACGAGTTTGTTGATACGCGTACGGCGACCTAGCGTGTGGTGGCACGGCGATCGCACCTCAGTTTACCAGTGCCTCGCGCCCAGTGACTATCCCGCCTGAATTCTTCGCAAGGATTTACAGTTTCTTTTTGGATTTTTGGCTATTTGACCATAAGTTATTATATATCTCGCCATGGGTCCCAAGAAAGCCAGTGGTAAGGTTCACGGCAAGAAATCACCTGTGAGAATGACCATAGAGGTAAAACAAGAGATCATTCGTAAGCATGAAAATGGTACTCGTGTTGTTGAACTAGCTAGGCAGTACAACAAATCCATGTCAACGATATGCACTGTACTTGCCAAGAAAAAGGACATTTTGAGTGCTAAAGTAGCAAAGGGCGTTTCAACAATCACGAAACAAAGAACAAATACTTGAGGATGTGGAAAAGTAGAACAAATACTTGAGGATGTGGAAAAGTTGTTATTAATTTGGATACACAACAAGGAGTTAGTGGGTGATAGTGTTTTAAGAGGCCATTATGTGATGGCTCACTACAGACAAGTGTTGCAAAGAAGGGAAAAACAATCTTCAATGGAATGTTTCCATGTGAGAAAATCAAGCAGTGAGCCACAACCAGGACCTAGTGGTATGCAAGCAAAACGTGCCAGAGTGCACTCCAGAGAAATCTTGACTGCCTTATGTTATAATGGAAGGGGGACTCCCCTTCCAAACAGTAACACCTCTCCTCCCCCTCCCCTCCTCACCATCTTCAATACGCTAACAGGAGTCATCAGCAAGGGTAAGTAATAACTTGAACATACTTTTGTAGTGAAGATTTGGGTGAATTAGGTATAAAATTTACTTTGAAGTGAAGTTTTTTGGGAGTCGGGAACGGATTAATTCATTTCCCATTACAGTATTTCTTTTTGGGGAAAATCGCTTCGGTTTACAAATTTTCCGGTTACGAACCTTCTCCAGGATCGGATTAAATTCTTAAACCGTGGTACCCCTGTAAATCATTGTTCTTTTCTGTGGCTGCTAGCACTTTCCCCACCATGTACTTATGGAAGGGGGGTTCAAACTTTGTTCAGTTCAGCTTAGATGCTCATTTTGCACCTGGAATGCCTGCCTATCTGAGTGGTTAGTTTCCCTCATCCTCAACATGTTTACAGTCTTAGGTGGGCTGTTTTAGCTTCCCCTTTCATTTATATACATGAATGCAATTTCAGCGCAGTGGTTGTGTGTTGATGAAAGGCCACTCCTTCCACCCTGGTCCCCCCCCCCCCACCAGGGAGGCTTCGACTCTTTCTCTTCATAGCTGTGTCGGTTTTAGATCTTTGTCCACCTGTGTGCAAAAGAAAAAAGAAAAAAATATTTATGTACGATCCTATTGGCTCATACGAGGCAGGTCCTGTTTATATCCACAATACAGTATAAATTGATGCTATCTCATATGGGCCAGTACGCCTTCTGTAGTTCCTTTATTATTATGTTCAAATAATTGGTTGACCTGGTTTACTTCATTAAAACTGTGGAGTTGTGAAAACAATATGAATATCAATGATATACATATCATGTAATAAAAATTAAATTTCAGACCATGATGATTACCGCACTGGCATAGTAACATTTCTGGCGACGACCACATTTGCATAGTAAGCAATCATGAAACTATAACAGGATATTCTTCATGTGTCAAAGTCAATTTCACTACTACCATATAGAGCTACTATATCCACATTAGCATCATTGGTGTGTAAAACCCAGACAATAATAGTGTAAATCAATGTATTGTGATAACCTCATTACTGTACGTGTGAATGAATGTATGATAACTGCACTTTAAATGTTAATACACTGTACAGTCCTGTCTTAAGCTCACTTATCCAGACTATATGGAAGAGATCTCCTCACTGGATAAGCCAGACATGTGGATAAGCAGAATTCTAACCAGGAAAGTCCAAAAATTACCATATTTGCAATTTTTTTATACCACAACTAATTCAAATTTCCACACCTATAAATCAAAAATATTATTTAAGACAAATGTCAGGTTACCTTCTAGTAGTTTGTCTTGTTTGATACTGTAGATCTTGAAATGTGTAGTTCTTGAAAATTTACTTAACCTAATCTCTGGTTATCTGGACTCCTGTCCAGATATACTTATTGCCATATCTGGACTTCTGTCCAGATATGGCAAAGTTATGCTAGAAAATTACAATTTTGTTCAGATTTTGTCAAGTGGGCTTGGTGCAAAGCCCACTGTTGAGCGGGCTTGGGATAACAAGCTCGTACAGTGTCTATAAACATCTACTACACTGTATTGGTATCTCACCTTTTTGTCTCCTGGTTGATGCCTCCCTCACCCTATGAGACTGGGAGATGCACTAATGATGATGCATGCATTAATGTTATGTATATGTACAGTATTCTGTAAATTTTAATTATTTGTACTGCTTTTTTCAGAGGCATGGTGTGAAACGCCGCTGTGATGAAACATTTGCCACTCCATTAGTAAGGAAGAAAGGTACAATGCCTTTGGTTTCGCACAATAGTACAATTTCCACTCCAGGACACAAGCCAACAGCAAGACCTTTGCTTCCCTCGCTCAATGTCACTATTGCTACTCCATCAGGCGGGTAAGTTACAACATGTTCATCTTTGGTAACTGTGTCCTTCCATTAGTCACATTATTCTGACCAGGCACATTGCCTTAATGGTGGATCTCACTATAATATAGTAATTTTATTCATTAAATATACATATGAACATACAACAGTGGTTTATTTGTAGATACAGAGGTTGCATATAAAATAAAGCCACTAATATGCAAATCATTTTTGGGCAAATGCTAGTCTGATGAATTGTAATTGGAACAGGAAACTATAGAAGAGAAACACAATTTCAAAATATTTTTCACATATGCAAAATCAAAATCAAACACCTCTGCCTGTATTGAACCAAGACTTACAACTGAAGATTCATTCATAGAAGACGACAAAATTTGTGAAATCCCCAAAAGATCCATATGAGGCTATGTTTAGCACCCTATTAAACAACAAGAAAGTTGAAGATCCAGACAGCTTCTTTATGAATGATATCCAAACCCCTTGCAATATAACTGATATTAACATGAACACAAGACTTTGAGACTTTGAAAAAGAAATTAACAATATGCCCATGCACTCAGCTCTGGGCTGTGACTTGTGGAATTGAATATTCATGAAGAAATGTAAAGTACCAGTAGCATGAGTGCTCTCAGTGTAATATGGAGAAATGTTTGGATACATTAAGAGATTCCAGAAGCACTTGAGTCAACAGATATAGCTCCACTACACAGGGGAGGTAGCATAGCTTTTGAAAAAAAATATAGGCCGTTGCAGTAACATCGCACATAATGAAAATTTTTGAACGAGTGATTAGGAATTATATCTCCAGTTTTATGGTAAACAATGAACTTCACAACTCGTATCAACATGGATTTAGAGCAGGAAGTTCCTGTCTTTGATAATTACTCAACCACTATGACAATCTTGAAACCATTAGAAGAAAAACAAAATGCAGATACTGTATACACAGACTTTGCAAGAGCATGATAAGTGTGGACAACGAGTGATAAAAAAGATAAGATCAGTAGCATTAACAAAGTGGGCATTTGTTTTTAATTTTCTGTTAAATAGAATGCAAAGAGTAACAGTCACTCAAAGTGAACGTATGATAACTGCACTTTAAATGTTAATACAGTCCTGTCTTAAGCTCACTTATCCAGTCTATATGGAAGAGATCTCCTCACTGGATAAGCCAGACATGTGGATAAACAGAATTTTAACCATGAAAGTCCAAAAATTACCATATTTGCAATTTTTTTTATACCACAACTAATTCAAATTTCCACACCTATAAATCAAAAATATTATTTAAGACAAATGTCAGGTTACCTTCTAGTAGTTTGTCTTGTTTGATACTGTAGATCTTGAAATGTGTAGTTCTTGAAAATTTACTTAACCTAATCTCTGGTTATCTGGACTTCTGTCCAGATATGCCAAAGTTATGGCAGAAATTTCAATTTTGTTCAGATTTTGTCAAGTGGGCTTGGTGCAAAGCCCACTGTTGAGCAGGCTTGGGATAACAAGCTCGTACAGTGTCTATAAACACCTACTACACTGTACTGGTATCTCACCTTTTTGTCTCCTGGTTGATGCCTCCCTCACACTAAGACTGGGAGATGCACTAATGATGATTCATGCATTTATGTTATGTATGTGTACAGTATTCTGTAAATTTTAATTATTCATACTGCTTTTTTCAGAGGCATGGTGTGAAACGCCGCTGTGATGAAACATTTGCCACTCCATTAGTAAGGAAGAAAGGTACAATGCCTTTGGTTTCGCACAATAGTACAATTTCCACTCCAGGACACAAGCCAACAGCAAGACCTTTGCTTCCCTCGCTCAATGTCACTATTGCTACTCCATCAGGCGGGTAAGTTACAACATGTTCATCTTTGGTAACTGTGTCCTTCCATTAGTCACATTATTCTGATCAGGCACATTGCCTTAATGGTGGATCTCACCATAATATAGTAATTTTATTCATTAAATATACATATGAACATACAACAGTGGTTTATTTGTAGATACAGAGGTTGCATATAAAATAAAGCCACTAATATGCAAATCATTTTTGGGCAAATGCTAGTCTGATGAATTGTAATTGGAACAGGAAACTATAGAAGAGAAACACAATTTCAAAATATTTTTCACATATGCAAAATCAAAATCAAACACCTCTGCCAGTATTGAACCAAGACTTACAACTGAAGATTCATTCATAGAAGACAACAAAATTTGTGAAATCCTAAAAAGATCCATATGAGGCTATGTTTAGCACCCTATTAAACAACAAGAAAGTTGAAGATCTAGACAGCTTCTTTATGAATGATATCCAAACCCCTTACAATATAACTGATATTAACATGAACACAAGACTTTGAAACTTTGAAAAAGAAATTGACAATATGCCCATGCACTCAGCTCTGGGCTGTGACTTGTGGAATTGAATATTCATGAAGAAATGTAAAGTACCAGTAGCATGAGTGCTCTCAGTGTAATATGGAGAAATGTTTGGATACAGGAGAGATTCCAGAAGCACTTGAGTCAGCAGATATAGCTCCACTACACAGGGGAGGTAGCAAAGCTTTTGAAAAAAAATATAGGCCGTTGCAGTAACATCACACATAATGAAAATTTTTGAACGAGTGATTAGGAATCGTATCTCCAGTTTTATGGTAAACAATGAACTTCACAACTCGTATCAACATGGATTTAGAGCAGGAAGTTCCTGTCTTTGATAATTACTCAACCACTATGACAATCATGAAACCATTAGAAGAAAAACAAAATGCAGATACTGTATACACAGACTTTGCAAGAGCATGATAAGTGTGGACAACGAGTGATAAAAAAGATAAGATCAGTAGCATTAACAAAGTGGGCATTTGTTTTTAATTTTCTGTTAAATAGAATGCAAAGAGTGACAGTCACTCAAAGTCCAAGTACAGTGAAAAGCTCTGTACCCCATGGCACTTTGGTTGGTCCCTCTGATACTTTTATTGGTTCCTCTGATACTTTGGTTGGTTCCCTGATAAGCTGTGTGGGCTGTGCTCCAAACTAAAAATAATTTTGGGGAATTTCTAGATGGATGATGCATTTAAGCACCATTGGAACGTTAATGTTTAAATTACAGGTATTGGAATTACGTAGTTGTATTGTCCAGTCTGGGAGACTTGTATCAAACCGTTTTGCTCCATTTTAGGTTTTAGATTTTATTTTGTTCCTGGTTTTCTATTTCCCTTAATTTGTTTGTTTGTTACAGAAAGAGTGAAGTGTTAAATAATCGTAAAGTCAAGCATCAAATGCCACCGCCTGCTTCTATTTTCTCCTCCATCACCCAACCCATTTTTGAAGATTGCTCACCATCGAGATTGTCAACTGTGTCGGCTATTGATAACCCTGACGCTCGTCCATCAGAAATCTGGTATGTTTAATTTATGCATTGTGGGATTCACATGGAATTATAGAGGGTCTCTGGAGAGTGAGTCTTGTAGTCACGGTGGTTTCAAAATTAATGTAGCCAAATCGGAAGCCCAGTAGGCTTTTTATCTTTATCTTTGTTCACTGTTGTTGATCATTTAAAGAAAATTATGATCTGGTCTTCACGTCTGGTCTTTTTGACGCAGGTTTATCACCATCTCTTTGGTGATCAGGCGGCTTCTTTAATAGTGTCCCTTGTGTGAACTTCATCTCGGCGACAGTATGAAGTTTCCTGGCGTTCTTTTCGCCATTTTCTCTTTTCGTAGGTTGTCTTCTATTTCTGGTCGGGTTGTTTTGTCTTTTCTTTCTTGGCTTTTTCAGAACCGTCTCTTAATGCCCAATATTGTCGTCTCGTATTGTGATGCTGGTGGAGCTGCTCTTGCTTGCATTTGGGGTGGATGTCACTACTGCCCTGTTCCGTAAGCTTTCTCGTGCTTTGTTTCACCTCTGGCCTGCTCATGGCTGCCTGAGCCGTACTGGTCTTTGGACAGGGTGCTCTCCTATCTCTTTCTCCTCGGTTTGCGGTGGCCCCTTTGGTTCAGGTTTGTTTTTCTGGGGCTCCCTTTCTGTTTGCATTGGCCCCTGGGAAGTCAGGCTGGTGAGCTTCATGCTCTCCTCTGGCGCAGAGGTTTCTGCTCCTTCGGTCCTGGTAGTTGGTTTGTTTGATTGCAGCCTTCTCCTGCAGGCATCATGTGCAGTACTTGCAAATATTAGGATGGCCAAATAGAACTTGAACAAGTAATCCTTCAGAATACTATTCATTGTGTATGATGGACCAGTCTTAGAATATACGACTCCAGTGTGGGACCATCATGAACAAATCAACAAGGGCCGTGATGAGGGTTCGAACCTACGTCCGAGAGGTTCCCAGATGCGCCTTAGTCGACTGAGCTATGACATGGTAAAAGAATTGTAACTGGGAGTTCAACTTGACCTACCACGGATCCTACAGTCTCTCCGAGACACAAACTAGGATTTTACACAATTTCCCCAAGGCGAGTCTGGGATCCTCTTGGACGTAGGTTCAAGCCCCTCATCACGGCCCTTGTGGATTTGTTCATTTGATGCATCACACTATTGTGATTTCTGTGTGTAATGGGACCATCGCTTTGTAAAGCACAAGACAAAGTACATAAGAATGGTTGATGAGACCAGAAAGTACCAGAAATTAGTCTAAGGGACAGGCTAACTAAATAGATAATGTTAAGTCTTTTTTCCAGGTGAGAGAGTAGGGACCTAGGGGCACAGGTAGGTAGGTGTTGGAACTTAAGAAGCCAGAGAAATACTACACTGGTCACGTATTTCTCAAGTATCTCTCCCAGCTTTTGTTCATTTGCCATTTTCTGAGCAATGTATTGTACAATATACTTCAATCATGTTGTGACACTTTTATCTAAAATGTTCTGGGTTTGCTTTACAGTTCCAGCATAGAATGTGAAAGACATTTAGATAGTCCCGAAGACTGTCAGTGTGCAGCTAAGAAGTTTTGCTCAAGACATGCATGCAAGAAAAAAAGCAGACACCCAAGGTGGGTTTATTTTGTCTTAGGGAATACTGTAAGATGGTATCCATAATAGCATGGATAATACTACATATGCTTAAGTATTATTATTCATTTGTTCATGCTTGTTAATTGTCAGTTTGTTAGTCTTATTAATGATGGAAGGATTCAGTTTATGATGTGTTGAGCACACAATGAATAATGCACTTCACCTCTCAAGAGTCATAGGATTGTGTATGCAACCACAAAGTTAAAAGACAATCATTAAACTCTTACATTATATGCTTTACTGGGGTGAGTCCCTTGTGGCTCCCTGAAGCTACAATGCTGATACAGTGCCAAACTACTAGGTGCCATCAGTCGTGGAGTTCTTTTAGGGCTATCGGTGACCATGAGCCAAAACCTGACCTCCCCACTAATGAGACGCAGAGAGCAGTGGCACTATGATAAAATTGTCAGCTAATTTTAATTGTCCACCACCATCAGGGAAGCAGCCACAAAGTCAGTGATACAAAACACCACTTTTCTTTTTTTTAACACTTTTGTTGCCCTGGCGGGTGACCCGCCATGCACCTCAAGGTAGCCCTAGCGGTGCCCTGGAACTCGTCACCACCCACAAATGTTTATACTCTTCTTTTTAGTTTTCTGACCTCAATTTTTGTGCTATGTTGTTCAATTTGGTATCAAATTGTTCACAATAGAATGCTGTAAAGGGATATTTGTATATAAGAACATAAGTCTCATTTCCCTATACTTTCGACGAAAACTCAATAGCTTTTCCCCTCGTACGTGTTCAATGCTTTTGTCATAGACTGGCTCTTTTCTTGATCAGTATCCAAGTAGAAGTCAATTTGCAGTGTTTATAAAACGGGTAACAAAAATACCTGAGATAGAATAACCAGAATGGGGGAAACTTTTCGACTCGAGGGAAGGCCGCGGTTATCACGAGCGAGGTCATGAACAATTGAGCCTCCAGCGTTGGTGGGCGCCCACACGGTGGGGTCAGGATGCCATGTGGGGTATATAGAGTATAGGAAGGAGTTGGTGCTCATTTTAAAACAAGTCCAATAGTATTCAGAAAATAAATGGAATTTTTACAAATTTGTAAATTATTGACGCTGTTTGCGTCATCCCACACACTCCTTATTTTGTTCTTATGACAGAATATGTGGCATTAGGCAGCAAAAGTGTCAATAAGGGATTACTTTAAGGTTTTATAAGGTTATCACTCTTTGGGATTTGAAAGTAAAATAGTTGAGTTAGGAAAAATTTTGACATTAACTGAAGGTTATCTTGAGATGATTTTGGGGCATGGCGTCCTAGTGGCCCAGTCCTCCACCAGGCCTCCTTTTTGTTACACATCCCAGGAAGTAGCCCGTAGCAGCTGTCTAACTACCAGGTACCGATTTACTGCTAGGTGAAAGGGGCATCAGGGTGAAAGAACCTCTGCACATTTGTTTCCGGCTGGGAATCGAACCCTCAACCTTAGGACTACGAGTACCGAGCGCTGTCCACTCAGCCGTCAGCCCCCAACATTTATAAAAACATAAAAAATTGTCCTTAACAACTGCACCATAAAATTTTTGCCCAAAAGTGTACAGTACAGGGGTTAATATAAATGTAATGGATTGCTTGTAAAATAAAAATAGAGCTTTGAGTATAAAGAAACGTGTGTGGTGTGGCCAACTTCCCTCAGCGACTGCACGATGCCTCATGTAAGGAACCTCGCAACACACTGGCAATACTGTACAGGAAATCCAAATGAGAAACACATTTAAGATAACTTAAAAGGGATTTACCTGTGAACATCAACTTCCTTGGCACTGGTCCCAAACACTCCCAACAAAAAGAGGGAAGGCTAAAAAATTCTGTATCATGGCTGTATGTCTTACAAAAGAAAACAGGCAGTGTAGTAAATTGACAAGATGTAAAGAAGCTGAAAAAGAAAAGAGGGTGACCAGAAAGATGGCCCCGACACTGGAAACTAGTTACTTGCAACAGTCAAGTAAAAATGGCAATCACAGGACAAAGAAACTAAGAAACTTGTCACTAACAAGAAGAATCATTAATAAACAAAAGAATGATGTTTTTAAAAAATGGAGGGAATAGAGGAACCCACTTGACAGTCTGATTCATGGCCAAAATAGATGGTAACTAGACTTTAATAGACATTACTAATGGAGCAATTTGAAACTATTAAGGGGCCTGAGCATGAAGTCTCTCATGAAGCATGAGAGGGCCAGCCAAGAGATGACCCACTCACCCAGAAGCACCACTGCCCACTTAGACGAACACATAAGGGGAGGAGAATGAGAAGATCCCCCTTCCCCTTACACTGCCTAATCCAATGGAAGCCAGGTCAAAGAAGCTTGAAAAAAGTACAGAGGTTTAGAACAAGACTAGTTCTGAATAAGAATTAAGAGGAGAATGATGCAACAGTAAAACTCTCCAACCTGGAGTTCACAGAAAGCAAAACTACGCACAGAAATCCCACTGGAATTTTTGTACGTACAGGACAAGGGCATCCAATGTGAACCTTGCAGTCTGAAAGTGAACTGCATAAATCAGAAGTTGGAAATGTCACGTCGAAGCAGATTCACCTGTGGCCTACCAAACCACAGGAAACAATTCCTGCCTACTGCCTCATCTGCCATGAACTGGCAGAAGCAAAAATCCAACCAAGAGAAGTTTACCCTGTGGATCTGGACTGCCTTGCGGAAAAAGACCCAATACGCCAGAAGCACCACTGTCCACTTAGACGAACGCCTAAGGGGAGGAGTATGAGCAGATCCCCTTCCCCTTACACTGCCTAATCCAATGGAAGCCAGTTCAAAAAAATTTGAAAAAAATAGAGGTTTAGAACAAGACTAGTTCTGAATTAAGAATTCAGAGGACTAGTTATGGAGACAGGCTCGGAGAACTTGCTGTGCTCCGAGAGAATGAGCAGGAGGGTAATAAGAACTCCTGTACTGTGTACCATGTCCAAAAAGAGTTGCGTTGCCTTGACACAAAAATAATGGTTTATGACACCAAGTTTGTAAACTTGCAGATAAAATGACAATTAAATTTGTCATCAGATTGATTACCATAACACAGTGGATGATGCTAAAACATTGGACTGCTAAAATATTAACAGGCATATTTCTTGTTTACCATGTATCTCTTTTCATTTTCATTCAGTCTTGTTCTTATAGTATTTAATCCATTCCATTATATGGAATGATGCTCAGCTACTAGGAAACACAAGAGACTTAACACTTGTCAAGCCCTTCAAGATGACCTGCACAAAATAAATGTATGAAGTAACACTTATCAGATGGAATTCAATGTGAATAAATGTCATTTTATGCGAAAGAATGTTAAAAAAAACTGGCAAAGAAAGTGATCTGGGGTGGTTGTGGATAGTAGAATATCACCAGAGGACTACATAAAGAATGGTGTGCAAGGAGCATATACTGCACTTTCCAACTTCAAAATGACTTAAATACATGGAAAGTGAAATATTAACCCTTAAATGGCACATGGCTATATACCATTTGAGACCCACAGGCACATACAAAAAAAAAAAAAAAAAAAAAAAAAAAAATTTTTCTTCCTAACCTGTTAATTTGTGTTCACTGATTATGGGAAAATAATAAAAAAATCGTAAGTGGCATATATTGCCTGCTATAGGGCGGGGAAATCTGAGAAAAAACAGGCGCTGACTCAGCGTGCGTCCCAGGCGGTCTGTTGTTCGCCAGCTGTCAGGCCGGAGTTGCCACAAAGAGATAATTACCGAATTATTTCAATGTCTCTTAATTGATTTTTCGTAGTTTTTTGCTGTAATATTATTCAATAGTGTGTAGTGTGATATATTTATATAATAAAATGAGTGAATCATTGCTGTACTCAAAATTATGGTGTGCATATTGTTGATTCAATTATGTTCATCAAACAGTGAACAAATACTTTGTCGGTTATTACACTATATACACAGGTTATATATAAGTATCTGCATGTTTTGTTCACCATAACGAACCACTAAGTTGCTATTATGAGTCGGAAAGTAACGAGGAGTGACCGCCACATTCCAGCCAGCCACTCACTCACTCCCTCAACACCTCACTCGCCCACATTCTCCTCCCACAATACTGTTTTTGCTTTTATTCACTATATACAGACGTTATATACAAGTATCTACATTCGTGTTCACCATAACGAACCACTAAGTTGGTATGCTGAGTGGCAGTGGCAGCCCGCCACTGGCTGCCACTCCCTCCCTCACCTCACCTGACTTGCCACCATTCTCCTCCCACCATACTGTTTTTGCTTTTATATACAGACGTTATATATAAGTATTTACATGTTTTGTTCACCATAACTGTACATCTAAGCTTGTATGGTGAGTAACGGCACAAAGACGTAGAACCTCACACAGTCGGCTGGTGGCTGCCGCCCTCAAGGCCAGACCCACTAATATTTCTCCTCCAACAATACTGTTTGTGGTGTTATGCTATATACACACATTATATATAAATATCTACCTGTTTCATTCACTATACATGTACTTGTACAAGTAAACTGGTATGGTGCCCAAAGACCATCGTGGTCACCAGTAAACAACATAAGTCGTGCAGACGATGCCACCGCCCTCGCCAAAATGGCAGCTCCCAACCTTCTCCTCTTGCTGTTTATACCCTCTATACACACGTTATATATAAGTATCTACATTTGTGTTCACCATAGCGAACCACTAAGCTGGTATGGTGAGTGCAGTCAATAAAAGGTGGCCACACACAGTCGGAAGACAACGCCACTACCCTCCCCTCCCACAGCATTACTCCTCCCAACATGGAGCACAGCGCTAAATATCACCACAATCCTGCTATTATCAGAACCCTGGTCAGTTTTATCAGTCAGGGGTCTTCTGTAATAATATCATCGCTACATAATAGCACGAACAAGTATATTATGGCATTTTTAGGCGATGCTGTGGTCACAAGCTGAACAGCAGTGCTGTGAGCTCATGCTGCGTGTGTCAGGCTTGGTAGCTCACTCAATACTGAGGCCCCTAACCCCCGGGAATTTGGCCCACGATTTAAAAAAAAAAAATGGCGTCTGTTTACAAGAGCCCTGATGAAGGTGTGGTGAACCCCGTGTATCCGCGGGCCGTTTAAATCTTGCGTAGTACTCCAAAGCATCATATGATGCGATGCGCTATTTAAGGGTTAAAGAAATTGTTCATGACTTTCACCAAAATTGGAATATGCTGTGGTTATATGGGCCATATATCAGGAAGCATATCAATAAATTGGAAAAGGTGCAAAGAAATGCAACTAAGACATACAGGAGAGGTTTGAGGTGTTAAATATGCTAAAGCTAGTAGGTAGACAGAAGAGACAATATGATTACTACAGTACGTATAAAATAGTAACAGGAATCTACAAAATTTGCAAATAAGGAATTCTTGAAACCTGCAACTTCAAGAAAGAGGTCATAAATTTAACCTAAATAAACACAAGTGCCCACAAAAATATCAGGGTTCATTGCAAACAGAGTAGTTGATGGTTGGAATAAGGTAAGTGAGAAGGCAGTGGATGCCAAAGTAGTTGTAAAGTGTACAACAGATTACTGGGAAGGTGGGACACCACAAGTGTCTAGGTCATTCTCTTAACTACACTTGGGTAATTATTGTTTCCTTTTATTGTTGTCTCCCATAAACCTAACAAGATTGTCTTTCTTATATTTAAATTAATGGTACATGAATTATTTATATGGATTTACTATTTTAAAAGGTGTAGTTTTGCCAAATGTCCTTAATAGCATAATAATTTTTTTTAATTAATGGTTGTAGAAAGAAAGTGTGCAGCAAATCGCGAAGTTCAACCCCTACAAATGATAGTATATCAAGTGACTCGTCAGACGATATTTTAGGGACTACAATTGTTAAGGCTTTCACCCGCAACCACGAAATGAAACGTATGCTGCAAGATATTATCTCGAGTGCTTTCAAGACATTTAATCAGGATGGCCAATTAAGAGTAAGTACAGTACTGCATTTTGGGCAGGTTCTCTAGGTACCTCGCTTCAGTCTGTGGTACCAACATAGGGACTCATTCAATGTCAGGCTGATGTGACTCTGCTCGTTGGTTGAATGTTCCATTTCAACAATTGTCTTGCTTTCCTCAAAGGGGCGGGGTAGCGTGTCAGGATGAAGGATAAATCTAGAAATACCGCTCCAACAATTAAAGTTGTAAAACAACATAACATAACTGTTTGCAAATAATTTGCAAATTAAAACACTTTAGCGCAGTGGGCGAGTGAGCGCTTGTCCTCCAAGGTGCGCTTGGCATTCCACGGGAGCGCATATTTATATTTTCAATATTTCTCTCAAATATTGGATTTACATCAAATTATATATTTTTGGGTTATACAGTATACAGTGGCACCTCAACTTAAGATTGCCCCGACTTACGATAATTTCGAGTTACGATTTAAATTTTATCGGATAATGCGACTTGACTTACGGTAGTGTCGTTGACTAACAATATTTGTTGACACATGTTCGGGTGGACCGAGCGCATGGTTCCCGGTCATGCGGGGCGACCTGCCTCCGTTTACTAGAGCCACCCGCTTAGTGACGATCATGCTTCTAAGAAATTCTAATTTTTGGTGATTTTTGTTTTTTGAACATAAAACTGATTATTATGTATCATGCCATGGGTCCCAAGAAAGTCAGTGGTAAGATTCTACATATGAAAACACATGTGAGGATGACCATAGAGGCAGTATAGGATATCCCTTCCTCAAAAATTAAGAAAATGTGTGCAACATGGGAAGAACTGTAAACTTTTGCTGAAAAGACTCGCCCAAATCAAGCTGCCGTAGGCCGTTGCCTTAACCTTTTCAATAACACTGATACATCACTGCAGACAAATGTTAAAACGAAGGGAAAAACAAGTGTCGCTAGACAAATTTTTAGTGAGGCAAACTAGCAGTGAACCACAACCAGGTCCTAGTGGTATGCAGGCAAAACGTAGGAGAGTGAGTGTACCCCAGATAAATTATCACTGCCTGATGGAAGGGGACTTCCCTTCCAAACAGTAACACCTCTCCTCCTCCCCCCTCCTCACCATCTTCCATATGCCAACAGGAGTCATCAGTAAAGGTAAGTACTATAATAACTTGTACATACTTTTGTAGTGAAGATTTGTGTGAATTAGGTATTAAATTTTCTTTGAAATTAATTTTTGGGGGAGTCGGGAACGGATTAATTAATTTCCCTTCATTTCTTATGGGAAAAATAGTTTCGGCTTTAGATATTTTGACTTACGATACGACAAAAACGTAGTGGAGGTGGGGTCTCTCGATTGCTTCAAGCGTGGGTTGGACATGTATATGAGTGGGATTGGGTGGTTTTAAATAGGAGCTGCCTCGTATGGGCCAATAGGCCTTCTGCAGTTACCTTTGTTCTTAAGTTCTTGTGCCTCTGGGAACGGATTACCATTGTAAATCAAGGCCCACTGTATTTAGTTTAGCAACATTATTACGATAATAAGAGGTATAAAAAATACTTATTTTAGAACTGATTTATTAATTTTATTATTTCGGAGCCGTTGGTCACAGAACTGTGGCGATGAAATCGAACAAAACACGCATGGTGGTGTGTGCACACGGATTAGACCCGTCCACTCGCGCTGGAGTTGTGCCACCAATAACATGAATAATTTCTCAAATAGCAGATATCTATCATATTACAGTATATTTTTGTTTTTATTTAGTTTAGTTTAATTAGGATAATAAAGAGCTATTAAAACACCAGTTTTAGAAATGATCTATTAATCTGAAACGTTCAGTCATGGATCACTGAACTATGACGACACAGATGAAAGTGAGTGAAACCCCACTGTAAAGTGAGGTTTACTGTACAGTATTCCCTTATCTGTCTACCCTCGCTCATCTTCTTTCATCACAGAAAATGTATATAAGAAGATTTCAACACATTAGCTTGCTATTCATGCCTCAGCCTTTAAATTAATTTGCAAAGATACATGTGCCACAAATCGGTGAACGAAAATCATGGAAACACAGTTGTTCACTTTTGTGGACCATTCTGGCTGGTGTTTGGTTCATATGGTTCATTTGTTGTGTGGTCCACCTGTGTGATCCAACTTGTCATATGAAGGCATTATTAATTATAACCTGTGATAGAATGGGAAAGTTTTCCACCAGTCTGTGAACTCTGTCCCGACATCGTAAGCAAATCTGCACATCCCCTGCTTCGGCGAACCATTGTTTGACAAACCAGGTGAGTAAATCCGGCCTGAAAAGTGTGCAACCTAGCCGGAGATTCGTTGAATCGGGGTACGTTGAATCGAAGTTGTACTGTACACACTCTTCATTTTGGTCACCTCAATTCTCGTCGTAGATCTTTCATTTTGGTATCAATGTGTTTGCAATAGAATTCCCTACAGGAGCATATGCATATACAGTAATGTCAAAAACGGCAGCACGCTCCACCTGCAGACAAGATGAAACCACCCCAAGGTGCGCCTGGCATTCCACAGGAGCACGTGGTAATACTGAAAAGTGAATACTCTTTTCAACTTTGCCATCTCAATTCTCATCCTGGGTTTTTCAATTTGATATCAATGCATTCGCAATAGAATTCTCTACAGGAGTATATGCATATATAAAGTCCAAAAGCGTGGCGTACCACCTGCAGCAAACAGAAAGTGAAAGTGTATTACCCGTGAGCGCTCATCAAGAGCAGTAAAATGTGTATACTATTCAACTTTGTCACCTCAATTTTCGTCGTAGGTCTTTCATTTTGGTATCAATGTGTTCGCAATTAAATTCCCTACAAGAGTATATGCATGTAATGTCCAAAACCATGGTGTGCCCCACCCACCGCCAAGCCAAAAGCAGGCCAAATTTTATCATTTTTGACCCCATACTGCGTCATTACCGCACGTTCGTGTACTAAATTTTTTACGCCATACTGCGCCATTACCGTGTTAAAGTGTTAAGGGCCTTTGTTGCATAATTTTTGTAAATTTGAACTACAGTATATTTGCCTCTTTCCCTGTATCTGCCAAGACTCCTATATACGAAGTTGTAGGAAAAATTAATTGAAGTGGAGTTCTGAGCTTAGAGGCACATTCTTTCAGAACCCAAGGTAAAACTCCAACTGGACCCCACTGTCTTGTTTTTACTAACTCATGTGGAAGGCTGGTTCCAGTGTCATTACCATGTAACACCCGCTACACTCCCGGTAACCCCACCACTCGGTTACCTGGGACGGTGATAATGACACCATTCACCGAGCCGACACCTCCCACCACACGAGGTTGTCCAGGCCAGAGTTCCTGCCAGCAGAGCACAGTTGTCCAGATGTCAACGTACCATGGTGGGCCCCAGTCTTGCAGTTCATCATCAGGGGCACCCACCTGCCTGCTGCGACACACCGTGCAGGCACACCGGAAGTGGAGGCGCGAGGTCAACAAGCGGGTATGCCAGCAGCAGTCACCTATCAGTTCCCCCTCGTCCTTGGGGATGCCACGTCACTGACTCCACCAAGATGCGCAACGAGGCGGTCACATTTCAACGGCACCTCCCTACTGAGTGTGCTTGACTCGCCAATAGGGTGCACGTTTCGCACCATCGGCCCAAGGTCAGGCACATTAGGGCATGCGCGATAAGGCGTACCGGCTCAGTAGAATGTGACACAAGCAACGCCTGTGTAGTGATGGGTCCCAGGAGCTGAAGTCGGGATCCACCTGGCCTGCCGCCACGCCACCCACGCCCCAACACCTGCACCTGCTACTTCTATTTGGCAAGACATCGTCGACGTCACACTCTCTGCCCTGCTGTCACGACTCCTGCTATGTAGCTGCTGTCACTCATCATCGACCGTCAGCTTCAAGCAACTGGAGGTGAGATGTGCCTCCATACATCTCTCCTAACACCGTTCACCTGTGACCGGCCAAGTCCCCGGCCGCTGTCACTTGCCGCTGCTCTTCACACCACCACCTTCGAGCAGTTGGATAGCTTGACGAGGAGTCTGTCACCAGTAGACTCGCTATGTCACCAGACGTACCCCAGAGCTGTTACAAGAAGATCTCAGGGTATATGCAGGCATCATCGACGGGCAGACGCTGGACCAACATCAGGTCTCCAACATCGCCACCAACATCACGTCTCCAACATCACGTCACCAACATCAGGTCACCAATATCGCCACCAACATCGGGTCTCCAACATCAGGCCACCACGCGAGAGTATAACGGATGCACGATAGGAAACGCGTATATCAACACGAACATTGATGTCAAGATTTACGAATGATGGTTCAGAGAAATGACTATTATTAACGGTGTCAAATAGTTTTGTCTAATCGGGTTAAAAGTGTAACATTTATGGGGATGTAAAGTAACTAGGCCTAGAAAAAGTGGTCATAGACAGTGTTCTTAGCTAGATGACTTCGGTCTCTAGCACAAACTTTTCTTGAAATTTATTTTGTTTCATGTATGTATCTATTTTATTTTGTTTCATGTATGTATCTATGAGATAAGTCTGTCCTGGTGATGAGTGTCCAGGTTCCCTATTTGTTACCAGTGTATGGGTACATAATTTTTTTTATATTTGCATGTCTTTTTATTTCATTAAAATGTTGTAATGTTAAGCAATGTTTCTGTTGTGGTAACAGGTAGTCTTATTTTCAGTGTGTGCAGGGTGCATAGAGATTGACCCTGGCACTATTGTCTTGTGCGGTATATGGATTGGCCCACAAGTATTCTGTTAACGTACGGTTCTATTGAGGAGTTTTCATGTCAGTTGTATTTTTTACCATGTTTTATAACTTGTATACTCATATGTTTGACTGTGGGTCATGAGGTACCCAGCAGATGTTTGGGGTATGCCCACTTAGGTATAATGTTTCCTGTTATTTTTAATTAGTTAGATTTAAATGTTAGAGTAGGAATATTATATATATATTTTTTTTTTTAATGTTGCTGATCATTTTTTTTGTATGTTTTGTTCTTCAGACCTTCTGAGGAAGACTTGCTAGCCTGCCTAGTGTGCAGGCAGGATATGTCATTGTTTCATAGTAGTCTTTATTGCCATATATTGTACCTCAGGGTTGTATTAGGTAGCCTTGTGTCATTACTTGTATCTTGACATTATATTTTCTTTAGTTACTTGTAATTTTCCTGTTCCATTAGGAAATTTTTTTTTAATTTTTTTATGTCATGCTTGTTTTAAGGCGATTTCTATTGTTTTGGCCTTCCAGCCTTCTGAGGGAGCCTTGCTGGACTGCCTCGGGTGCAGTCGGGATTTGTTTTTTTTTCATTGATATATTTTATTGTCATATTAGGATATCAGAATTGTATCATGTGTGAGGGTATCATTGCTGGTTCTTTTGCCAGGATTCTTTTTGTACTTTTGTGTCTCATTATACATTTGTTTTGTTCTTACTGCAGTATAACTGTATAATGTACTTTGCTTCATGTTAATTTAGTTAGCTTACTTTTATCATTGTCACTGGCAATTTTTTTTTCTTTTAGGGTTAGTTGTGGTATTTTGGATGAGTTAGGATAAGACAAAATTGGGCTTAATTATCATACACCCGATTTTGTCTTAACTCCGGGGAAAGGGAGCTGTAACACCCAGGACCTCCCCCCCCCCCCTTAGAGTTCACACCCAGGGAAGCCTTCTCCAAGAGGTCAGCCCAGATGACCTCCGGATTATTTTGTTGTTGATTAAAAAAAAAATTCCTGGGTTAGTCTTAGTCAGCATAGTTTCAAGTATGTAATATTTCATGCAAGGGAATTAGACTCCAGATTCTTATGTGTAAACATCCTTGGATCTCCCCCTTTTGGCCAGGTCAGAGGTCAGCCACACACGTAATTAATAACTCCTCTCTTGAAGAGTGTATGGTAAATGTCAAACAAGCTTATTGAAATATTTCTTGAGTGTTTGTTCATTCTTGGTGGGTAGCAACAGCAGATCTCCCCCTCCCCCTGTGGGGGTTGTATATAGAGGTCCTCTAGGGACTTAGGGAACACAGAGTGCGGTACACCGGGATCGAGAGCGGGGCTGTGAAGAACATCTCGGCCAGGGAGAGACAGATAGCTTAAGGTAATGTGTGTGATCTCTGAGTTTTTGTTCCATGTCCAAATTTCTTAACTTTTTGCCAGTGTTAGAGTAGGATTTATAATTGGTGATTGACATAATTTTGGTCTCAATAAACTTACGTGAAATTTCCCGTCTGTGTCAATTGTTGAATCCTCTTAGCCTTTTGGATATAGTGGCTGACAACCATTTTCATAATTAATGACAGTCATAGAAAGTACTCTCCTAGTCAAGCAATGTTTCTTGCCTCGTTGCTTGATATAGTTTCAATGGTCAAAGGCAGATGGTGGCAGCGTATTTCATCCTGTGTTAGCATCTCCTTGTTGGCAGTGTACTTTGTAGTCCCGGTGTAACCATCATATGTCAGCCCATAACAGTGTTACCAAGTGCAACCAATGGGGAAGTGTTACTCAGGATAAGTAGTGTTTACATTATTAGTTTAGTGTTCCATTATAGTGGTGCATTTTAGTGGCGGTGTCACACTAGAGCGGGTGTTACAACCATAGGATTTGGGTAGGAGTCATGTATGGTTTATCTTGGCTTCTTTGTCAAATGCGTTTGCCCGTTGTGTCGGTCCAGGTAACCATGTCGGTTTTCTGAGCATCGGAAATGTTTGTTCCTTTGAAGACCATTTTTTTAATTTTTTCTTTCTCTCCATGTTTGACTTATGGGATTCTTTTGCTTAGTGTATTTCTTTATTTACAAGTTCCCTTCCGTGTCTTGTTTCTTACTTCCTCCTCTGGTGACATTTTGGGGTCAGATAAAGAGTTGGCCAATAGTGAGTAAGTTGTAGTTTGGTCAATTATTAATTTCCAAGCATTTATTTTCAAGTATCATTGTGTTTTAAAATGTCCATTGTTATGGGTAGTTTGCCTCGGTTGCGAGTTAATGTTTGATCCATTGCTCTTCTGAGACAAGAAGACATTGAAATGGTGTGTGTCGAGATAGTCACAGGAGCCGTATGTGGTCAGTGTGGCCTACTGTGTCAGTGCCATAATCTTAGGGAAGCTTCTGAGTACCACTGAGAAACAGGTGTTTCATTACACTCAACACTGTTTTATCCTGCTGATGACAGTTAATATTATGCAACATGGAAAGTGTGTTAACCTTACTGTAGCATAATTTGATCATAATGTGCTCATAACGGAGCCTCTATTGTGCTCATATTGGATCATTGGAATAGTTTGGCATGTGCATTCTCATTTTTACCCTTATAAGTTCTGATTCCTTCACATTTGGTGAATTGCTGAAAGTAGTGGCTTTGTGTTGCTATTGGAGCAGCAGATGATTGGTGGGTAAGGTACCCGAATGTAACGGGTCGTATAGGTGACAACCCTGTGCAGAGATAGTTCTGTCAAGTTATGCCTCACTTTCCATTCTGTTTGATGATCTATGTGTAATGCACTATTTCTAGATTATCATTAGCTTCATTCAAGTCAATAAAAAAGTTTCCCACATGCCTGATTTATTCCCTGCTTTCACTATATTTAAAAAAAAAATTAGTTATTATTCCAATCTATTTTAATCTATCATTTACATTAGTGTGATAAGTGTTAGTGAACTGCTTATAGATGGTAAAATAAAATATGAATTATGAATTTGTCTATTTTTAGAGAAGCTTACGTCGCAGTGGCTTGTCAGGGACCGAACCTAAAGCAAGTGTTGAAGACGAGGAGAAGCCAGTACGAAAGCCTCTCGAAGAAGTTACCAATTTACAAAACAGAAGAAAAATTAGCTCTTCAAAGGAGGGAAATTTTTCTTCTTTCACTAATAATAAAACATTTGCACAAAATGTTAATCAAGAAGCACAGAGGGCCACAGATCTTGTGTACAATCTTCCTTTGACAAGCACAGCATTTATAGATGATCGAACTGTGAGACGATCAACAAGATTATCAACAAAAATTAACATTCATAAGTCACTGTTTAAAGAAGATTTATCAGAGATAAGTTCTAACACTGGTTCTCCTTTCCTTATGGGCAATGGAGGAAAAAATGAAACATTTTATAAAGATACAGCTTACAATTTTCCTCAGGACACAACTGTTGTGCTTCATAACGGATGTTCACCCGAGCTAATGCCTCGTAGATCATCAGTACTCCCACAGCTGCAAGACGACACTATAAACAAATCTTGTACCATAGGAAACACAATATGCAGTGGAGTAGATCATAACAGAAGCTTACTTCCACAATGGTTAAGTGAAAACCATTCACAAACCCTTCAGTCACAATGTAGAAGTCAGTTGTCTCCTTTGCAAAAGAGTAGAATTTTAAGACCAAATGAAGACAAGCAAAGGCGAAGGTCGTCGAGAGTAGCTGCACTTAGAGCAACGCAGCGCAACTTTGAATTGTTAAAGGGAGAAAGTCCTCTCTCAAATTTGAGCAAAAAACGAAGATCGTCACTAGCGGTTGCTAAGAATCATCCAGGTACGTAAAAAAATGCCCTTAATTGATACAATACACTGAATATACAGTATATATAAAAGAGGAGTTTTGCTATTAGAATATTAGCTAGATCTTTTGCCATAGTTTGGATTTGTTAGATTGAATTTAAAATTGTTTAATTTGTATTGTATTTGTTTAATCCTATCAATTTCTAAAGCAGAATTAATTTCAGGAAACCAGAGTGTGTGTGGGGTATCTAGAAATGCTACGTATATTGCCAACGACACAAAGTGGCAGCCAATTGTTAGTCCCAACCACCAGAAGCAGCACAACGACAAGATCCTCAACATCCTCAACTCTGGTGATTTAAGGAAACTGCAACAGCTGCCCTTAGTTGGTCCCAAGTCTGCTATGGTGCTGCGTAATTTCAGGTGTTTATATGTGATGTTTACCTTGGTCAGCTATCAGAATGTGCCTAGTAAATTGTCAAAGGTAGGGAAGTCCTATGGCTTTCATCTGTTTATTTCTTAGCTATTATTAGATGGTTTTTGAGCAAAAGAAGATTTTGAATGGTGTGGCATGTAACTGGGGAAGAAAAAAGGTGTGACTTTACTGCAAGCTCAAGTAAATTCAAGTAAATAGCTTGTAACATTAAAGGAGGGATCAATGACGACAGTGCCTTAGAGCTAATGCACTTGTTCGCCAGTACCATCACACTACATGTCTGTGGCTATCTCATGTCCTACCACAAGCAGGGACCACAATCCTAACCCCTCAGAGGTATTGAAGCAGTTGGTCAAAGGACACTACCTAAGAGAGAAAACTACATTCAAGTAACCAAGATGTGGTCACAAACTGAAATACTTGTAGGAAAAATGTTTGGTTAATGATGACTTTGATGAAGTTACCCAAAATACAAGCCTCTTGCCACCATATGGCAAAACTAATCAAACAGGAGCCTTAATGAACCCAGCCACTTACTCTTGGCTGTTGCCATGTACTATTCACCTTGTTTATTGAGACCTTGAGGTTATCTTGAGGTGATTTCGGGGCTTAGTGTCCCCGCGGCCTGGTCCTTGACCAGGCCTTTTTGTTACTCATCCCCCCCCCCCGTCCAGGAAGCAACCTGTAGCAGCTGTCTAACTCTCAGGTACCTATTTACTGCTAGGTGAACAGGGGGTATCAGGGTGAAAGAAACTGCCCCATTTGTTTCCACCTCCACCGGGTATCGAACCCGAAACCTCAGGACTACGAATCCTGAGCGCTGTCCACTCAGCTGTCAGGGCCCCATGTTTGTGTGTGTATAATGTTTAGATCAGTGGCTGACTTTTCTGCTTGCTTTATAATTTGGTTTCATGGTTTATGTAGTTTGTGACTTGCTAGTTTGTTTGCTAGTCATTGTGTGTTCTTTTTTTCCTGTCTGAGACAGGAAAACTGTCATTGTAGAATAGAAATTGTAGAATTACAATTTTCTAATAAACGTTCTGTTACTGCAGGGAAATGTATGGCTGTCTGAGTTCCTTTGAAGATATCGAGAGAGTTCCTGGTCTTCCAAATTCATTTTACAAGCGGTTTATAGCAGTAAGTTAAATTGCCTTTTATTTATTGGAGTAGCAGTACTGTGGTGAGATTTAACACAAATGCCTGTGTAGCATTAGCATGGTTTATTTACACCTAACATTATATACAAGTAGAAATACTTGTACATAATGTTACTTGTATATAAAATCCCCCCAATGTAAGTTACTGAGAGAGGGGGGGGGAGTGAGAGAGAGAGGGGGGAGTGAGAGAGGGAGAGAGAGAGAGAGGGGAGAGAGAGAGGGGGGGGGAGAGAGTGAGAGAGAGAGAGAGGGGGGGGAGTGAGAGAGAGAGAGGGGGGGGGAGTGAGAGAGAGAGAGGGGGAGTGAGAGAGAGAGGGGGGGAGTGAGAGAGAGAGAGAGGGGGGAGTGAGAGAGAGAGAGGGAGGGAGTGAGAGAGAGAGAGGGGGGGAGTGAGAGAGAGAGGGGGGGAGAGAGAGAGAGAGGGGGGGGGAGAGAGAGAGAGAGAGAGGGGGGGACAGAGAGAGAGAGGGGGGGGGAGTGAGAGAGAGGGGGGGGAGTGAGAGAGAGGGAGGGGGGAGTGAGAGAGAGAGGCGGGGGAGAGAGAGGGGGGAGGGGGAGGGGGGAAGGGAAGGGAAGGGAGACAGAGAGATTACAGTCAACATATTAATGAACATTCTGAGTGATTGACATACTGTATATAGCATTTGTAAACTTCCTTTACACATTCAGTATGTTACCATACACACACACACACACACACACACACACACACACACACACACACACACACACACACACACACACACACACACACACACACACACACACACACACACACACACACTTTTATGATTAGGTGCACAGACAATTTAGAATTTTCTTTGTTGGCTATTACACACTGAGTTTTGTTAGGAAGTTAAAGATCCATCTGAATATTTTTCCAATAATACCTTTTGTGTGCATTAACACCATGGTTGCATTTGTTAAAAGTTTTTGCAAAGTCTTTGTATATTACATCAGTGTTTTCCTGGTCTTCCAACACAGCTGCAGCCATGTCTTAGTGGTCTAGCAACTGAGAGACAGGTGCACCCTGTTCTGAAGCCATGTTGTCCAAGCTTATGAAGATGATGTGATTGTGTGTGTTGATCTTATTTCTTAGTACTCTTTCAAAGATTATGATGTGTGATGTTAGTGCTAACAGTCTATATTTTGTTCTCTACTTTATTCCCTCCTTTATATAGTGGTGCTATCTCTACTGGCTTGTGTGTTAGGGATAACACTACTATCCAGGCTGTTTCTCCAAAAAATATTAAAGGCCTGAAATTTTTTTTTACGAATATCATATTTCAGGAATCTGGGCCTGGTGCAGGTGCATGATATCCTTTACAATTTTTGTGACACCTACAGTCGTCATTTGCGCAAAACGCCAGAACCTTCCGACAACTGTAATCGTCATTTTCAATGTCATGTCTGCTAAGTTTAATTTGCCTTTCTGTGGAGATAAAATGATAAAATTGGCACTCTGTGGGCGCACAAATTGCCAGCGTCACTGGGACATGTACATGAGCAATCCTATTCCTACTTTTATATAAAATAGCTCCACAAGTACAATAAAAGGCCATCCACTAGTTACTCAGGTGGCTGATCATCTGACTTGACCTAACAAGTGGAGATGAGCATCCAAACGTTACCGTCGCTCAGAGAGGACTGAACCAATGTTTGTTTTCTCTCCATGCCCTCCAGTGATCCAATTTGTTTTCTCCCGTCTATTTCTTTTACTTTCTTATTTTGTTTAAACTGGTTTTCCACATTTTAACATTTATATTTTCAACATGTTTTCTAGTCATAGAATGTACTTGGAATTGTATTTGATCAATATTAACACTATCGCTCACCCGACATGCGCGCGGTCAACTTAGAGGTCATGAACAGCGTGTGGGCGAGCGTGCGGGCAAGTGCCGCGCGCTAAATGTGTATACTCTAAATGTGTATACTCGTTTCAGCTTTCTCACCTTAATTCTCGGGCTACATCGTTCGTTTTGGTATCATTATGTTCGCAATTAAATTCCCTACAGGTGTATATGAATATAATGTCCAAAAGCCTGGTGTGACTCCCAACAGCAAAGGCTAAAGTCGGCAAAGTTACCCGTAAGTGCACAAAATCAGTAAAATGTGTGTACTCGTTCCATTTTTCTCACCTTAATTCTTGTGCTACATCGCTCGCTTTGGTATCATTGTGTTCGCAATTAAATTCCCTACAGATGTGTATGAATATGTACAAAAGCCTGGAGTGCCTCTCCGCAGAAAAGCCTAAAGTTACCAGTGAACGAGCACCAATTTGTATACTGCAACCTAATGTGTATACTCGTTCAGTTTGATAACATCAATTTTTGTGTTACGTCTTTCATTTTGGTATCAAATTGTTCGCAATAAAAAGGCGCATATTTTAAAACTAGTCCCATAATAATAGAGCAATAACTGGAATTTTAACAAATATTTTAATTCTGGAAGCTCATCATCACAAAATTATTTATATCTTTCCAGTGTGCTGACATAAATTTTTGTTACATCTTTCATTTTGGTATTAAATTGTTCGCATCATAAAGGCGTGCATATTAAAACTAGTCCCAACATAATAGGACAATAAATAGAAGTTTACCAAATATTTTAATATTTTGACCAAAAACCTATTTATAATCTTTCAAGTGTTTGGACATCAAGTTTCATGTTATATCTTTTATTTTGGTACCAAATTGTGCGCATTCTAAAGGCGCTCATTTTGATACTATCCCGAGGTCGATCGGATTAAAAATGAATTTTATACAAATATTTTTGTAGTGGACGCAAGTCAGGCCCAAAGTGAGCGATACTGTTAAGCACTTGTTTACAACTTTTTAGTGTCATTTTGTCCACTGCAGTTATTCAGACTGTACATGTGCAGGAGATCTGAATTGGCTGGAGTTTCAAAATAGCTTTTCTATAAAGGTCCCTTCCTTACACTGTCTTGGGTTGAAGGATTTATATTTATAAAAAACGTTTTTGTGGTGATGTCCTCACAGGTGACAGTGCATGAATGACTAAATGTATGGTAATCAATTGTGTAGCTCTTCCTTACTTTACCTTGTGGTGATTCCAAGGATCAATGTCCCCATGGCCCAGTCTTTTCCCAGGCCCCCTGGTTGGTGGTCTGGTCAACCAACTGTTGACCCGACCAACTGTTGACCACGTCAGACTGTTGGACGGGCTGCTTGCAGCCTGATGTATGACTCGCAGCCTGATTGATCGGGTGTCCTTTGGAGGTGGTTATCAAGTTCACTTTTGAACTCCATGAGAGGCTGGCCAGTTATGCCCTTAAGGTTTAATGTTTGGCAGTTAAGCTGATAAGTTCATCATTAACAAACATGACTTTTAGAATTAGGTTTCACAATGGCTTTGAGCTAGGAAACTAATGCTGGAGACTAGATTTAATTCAGTGACATTCAAGATATATTCTAATACGATTATAAAATTTATGGTATACTATAAGGAAGTAGCCACTTCCTTATAGTCTACCGTCCACTTGGGCTGGACGGTAGAGTGACGGTCTTTCTTCATGAAGGTCAACACTCAATCCCCGTCCGTCTAACTTGTTAGGCACCAGTCCTTTTCCCCATCCCAAATCCTTATCCTGATCCCTTCCGAGTGAGGTATAGTCATAATGGCTTGGTGCTTTCTCCTGATACTGTAGTATCCTTTGCTATAAGGATGTATAAATATATTGTGGATTATTTTAATAGTGCTAACACATATTTTACTCCAGGTGCGTCATAGTGTGTGTACTGGAGTATTTTACTCCAGGTGCGTCATAGTGTGTGTACTGCAGTATTTTACTCCAGGCACGTCATAGTGTGTGTACTGGAGTATTTTACTCCAGGTGCGTCATAGTGTGTGTACTGGAGTATTTTACTCCAGGTGCGTCATAGTGTGTGTACTGGAGTATTTTACTCCAGGCGCGTCATAGTGTGTGTACTGGAGTATTTTACTCCAGGCGCGTCATAGTGTGTGTACTGGAGTATTTTACTCCAGGCGCGTCATAGTGTGTGTACTGGAGTATGATTTAAATTGATTTACAAAATCAATATCAATGATGCAGTAGGTGCAGTATGAGTACCATTGTTATACTTAAGACATTGAATGTTTTTCTTCACAGGCCAACATGATAAGCAGTCCTGTTTGAAGTAACCCCCCAGCACAGCCTTCACCAGTCCTAGGCGTGACCACACAACCAACACTTAATTATCATCATCTTCCTGGTTGACTACTGAAAGATTCACTCCAACATTAACATTCATTTCATTGAAGGATGCTTTTGGAGGGATTGATCATGTATTCTGTATGGGCATCGTGCCAAATAATTTGCACCCCCTCCCCTCCTACACCTTCCTTCTCTCTTCAAATAAAAACTTTTTACATGTATTGTATATCCATATATTTTTATTCTGTGTTCGTTGATAGCGTATTATCATTTCTTATTTTTGTTTTGCGTTATTTTTGTTTTTTCAAGTTTACCATTATGGTTATTTTTTTTACCCACAAGAAGATTTTTTTTCCAGTAGATTATTTTAGCAGAGATGTGTGTGTTGGTGGGCAAGGCAGCCCTTGGTACCCTGAGCAGGGTACTGTACACTATGTAACTTGTATTAGTACATAGCGTGATTTAACCACTGCACTGCACCAGTCAACAAATGTCGTTTTGAGAGTTGTGTGTTTTTATTTTACTTAGGCTATATTTTAATGTTTCATTACTCTGTGTTTTGAAATGAAAATGGTTGAGTTTGGAATCATTTTAATATCAACTTTACCTGAACCTTTATAAAAACAACAAAAATAAGTCCTTGACAATTGCACTATGAGGTTTTTCCCAAAACGAGGTGTGCGGTGCAGTGGTTAATGAGACGTAGCCTTCAAATGATACCAAAGAAACTGATGAAATCATCTATTGGTGAAGAGCATATTTTTTTATTTTAAGAATTAAATTTTTTTTTTTTTTACTAAACTATTTTGTTCAGCACTATTTTTTAGATTGAATTGGTAAAACAATAAATACATTTGAATGTACTCCGAGCAAGGTTCTTGGTACAGCTCCATTAAAGGTAACAATTGATTGTCACTTCATTATTGGTTATGCGACTTGCAAATATTTTCTTATTTTCTTATAAATATTTAGTATAATTTTATTTTGGCTACACATATAGATACATTGAAACATTTTATATAGTATGTACACAGTATAGTATTTAAATACAGTATTATATACACCACATAGGCAGAACTTGTCTGTTGTAACAATGAAATCATATTATTGTACTCTGAAACCCCTAATGTCCACGTGTTCTGATAACTTGACCCGTCTTTCAGTTAGGGTCTTGGGGTTCTTTATGGAGATGTGTGAAGAAGTGTTGGCACGACTGAAAACATGATTGGTTGTACATTTTATTTGACAGCATACAGTACACTGATTTGTGAGAGTAACGTTCCTTTTAAGGCTACATAATGCAAAAACCACAGTAATCAATCTTAATAGTATACATGTGGGAAAATAGTGTAGTTACATTACAGAAATGCCAAATATTTTACTAATTTTTCAGTAAAATTACTATTTAATCATTCATTTTTAATACTGTCAATTTCCAGCCTTAAGTTTAACACATAATGAAGTCCAAATGGCTTAGGATGCGCAGTGATGCCACAATATAATCCAGTAGTCATAAAGCATAAGAAATGCATCATTAGTTGTACTCTGACACATTATAACAATTTGTTGATAGTCATCTGATTATTCTAACCTGTGAAACAAAAATTCATCCACAGTTTTCTTTTGCAAACAGAATGGTAGATGGTTGGAACAAGTTAAGTGAGTAGGTTGTGGGACGTCAATACTGTCGGTAGTTTCAAAGCATCGTGTGATAGCTTACTGGAAAGATGCACCACCACAAGTGTAACATTCATTCTGCAACTACACTTTGGTAATTACACTTCAAAACTTAGCATAAAAGTGATAATCCCAGAATTTGCATTTCCTAATACAGTACAACCCTCATTATTTTAACTAGCTGGTACCTCTGGATAACCAGAAATTGACATTTTAGAGAAAGGATGTTGACCATTATTTGGCGTAAACAAGACTAGCTGTTTGTTGTGAAGGAGCTTCAGGTATCCATACCATCACTGCTTAACCTAACTTTTTCCAGGGGTATTCTTTATCAGTTCTCTTGATAATTAGCATTCTTGTTCTCAAATATCACTTTAGCATGGGTTGAATTATTTTGCTAAGAAAATAAATAAAATATTACACAGAACAATTTGCAGTTGCCTGACACACACACTTAAGTATTGTATGATGCAAATATTTTATATATTGCTCCAGACATTAGAAAAGTGTTTTATGTCTTTAATTATGACAAAGTAAGGAGGGTAGTATATATATAGTGTGGATGGGTTGGTTGTGGAACTAATGGAGTGAGCATGACTTTGTGAGGCAGGATTGACTGCCACTGATCAGCCAGCAAGTCTCTACTGTCAGAGATTGTACATGGATGGGGTTCTGGGAGTTCTTCTACACCCCAAGCCCAACCTGGGGCCAGGCTTGACTTGTGAGAGCTCGGTCCAACAGGCTGTTGCTTGGAGCGGGCGGCCCACAGGTCCACTACAGTCCGGTTGGTCCGGTACTTCTCGAGTGCTTTGAGATGATCCCAATAGTTTAGGTGCTTTATCATGTTTGTGTGTTGTACATGTCCTCTGTATTCCTACTATTTCCTAAAACTTTCCTGCTTTAAAGGGAGAGTGAGTATCGAGCAGTACTCAAGATGGGACAGTACTAGTTATTTAAATGTTATGAGCATTGTGATGGGATTTGAAGCCCCCCCCCTTCCCTGGATTTGAAGGGGGCTTGTAATCCATTCATCATTTTTTGTAGCTAACTCGAGGTTGCCAGAATCTGTTTTGCCGAAGTAGATAGCGAGTTTAAGGCCTAAAAGTTGGAAATGTATAATAAAAGTGCCCAAATATTTTGTTTTGATGTGTTTTTCAGAGTAAATAATCCAGTTTTTTTTATAAATGGGCCAAAATAGTAGCAAGTAGTAACGTACATAGCTGGGTTTTCAGAAGTAATGAATTGTGGTACAGCCCAATCTGGCAACCCTGAGTTAATGCAATGTTTGCTTGGTTATGTTCCCTAAACGTTAGTTTCACGCATTGTTTCCAGATGCTTAATGCATTAAAGTCACAACTTTTGCTCTTCCCCAATTGTGGGGAAAATCTCCCAGCAGTAATTTTATTTATTTACTTTGTTTTATTTAATTTCTTATTTACTTCTTGAGAATTTATTTATAATTTAAGCAGACTGTAATTTCTTACTGGACTGTATGATTTTACAGTATAGTTGTCCTGCTAGGAACTTCCCTTCGCAACCTGGGGGTTATTTAATGATATCCCAATCGAAATTAATAGATTGGTTGAACAAATCCACAAGGGCTATGATGAGGGTTCAAACCTACATCTGAGAGGATCCCAGGCCCGCCTTAATCGACTGTGCCACGACATGGAAAAGAATTGCACCCGGGAGTGCTGCTGCCCTCGCACGGATCCTGCAGTCTCTCCAAGACACAAAACAGGGTTTTACACAATTCCCCCCATGCACCCGGGCTCTGTCAACATGCTGTTCTACCTCTTTTCCCTTACATCATTACACACAGAAATCACAATGGCGTGATGCATCAAATGAACAAATCCACAAGGGACTGTGATGAGGGTTCGAACCTACGTCTGAAAGGATCGAATCTACGTCCGAGAGGATTGAGCCTACGTCCGAGAGGATCGAGCCTACGTCCGAGAGGATGGAACCTACGTCCGAGAGGATGGAACCTACGTCCGAGAAGATGGAACCTACGTCCGAGAGGATCGAGCCAACGTCCGAGAGGATGGAACCTACGTCCGAGAGGATGGAACCTACGTCCGAGAGGATCGAACCTACAACCGAGAGGGAGGATGCAACCGAGAATTCCCGGTTGCAATTCTTTTCCATGTCGTGGCACAGTCGATTAAGGTGCGTCTGGGATCCTCTCAGACGTAGGTTCGAACCCTCATCACAGCCCTTGTGGATTTGTTCATTTGACGCATCACGCTATTGTGATTTCTGTGTGTAATAGATTAATTCTAATTTGTTAGTAATGGTTAGTCTACAATGGTTAATTAACATGTAAGACAGCTTAGTTATGTTGTATGTGGCTTGAAATAATAGCAATGGACACGCCTCTGTCAAATATGCTGAAACCATTCGTTTAGGCCCTAATGGCAACTTGGGATGCCTCGTGTTGCACCAGGATTAAATGTTTTAATTTCTCCTTCTCCTTGGACTTCACATGCCGAATAATTACAGAGTAGTAAACTGCAACTAATATATGCAGCATATAACAAAGAAAGGATACGAATTAGTAAAACAAGGCTTACCTGTTCAGAGTGGCTAGCCCCGCATCCTATCCAATTATCACTGAATATACACAATGGCCACTGACATATACTAGTTTGTTAACTGGGTATAGAATACAGTACTGTACTCCCTAAGGTCAGTGAACTCGTTTGTTGATCGGGGAGACTGGTTCCTTTGTAGCGAGACTTGCGAGAAGTTTCTTTGTGAACTTTAGTCCGTGTCGACTGATGGGGGCAAGCTTCTCTCATATGGGATCTCTTACTCTCAAGGGACATGTCCTCTTGAACGGTTCTAATTCTGTCTTTATCGACTTTCGGGAGGAGACTGCTTTTATTTGTGTTTTAATTATGTCCAGTCATAAAAAGTGGTAGCACTTTTATTGTTTCTAGTGCCCAAACTGGTGTTTAAAAATTATCTAATATTCGTGTTATAAGTAAATAGAAATCCAGGTGATGTGGCAATGGTCCCATTTTCTACAAGTAGCCATGAAATCCGAATTGAATTCATTGAATGATTCACTAAGCCATTTAGGGTTAGTATTAGCATTTGCCCAACATGACTGCATTTGCTTGGTATGCTAGGAGTTGGTATTTAGTATAATTTCCGACACAAATTACATGCCACACCATTCAAAATCTTCTTTTGCTCAAAAACCATCTAATAATAGCTAAGAAATAAACGAATGAAAGCCATAGGACTTCCCTACCTTTGACAATTTACTAGGCACATTCTGATAGCTGACCAAAGTAAACATCACATGTAAACACCTGAAATTACGCAGCACCATAGCAGACTTGGGACCAACTGAGGTCCAAGCTGTAGTAATTGGTCTAGCTAATATTCTAATAGCAAAACTACTTTTTTATATATTCAGTGTATTGTATAAATTAAAGGCAATTTTTTATGTACATTGATGATTGTTAGCAACAGCTAGTGATAGGTGTAATGACTTGGCACTTTCTTCTGATAGTTTCCTTACCTTCCTTCAATGATCTCACGGAGGCTGCCGACATAGAAGCTATTTGTACACGTTTCATCTTTCGTAAGTGAATTCTTACACGTCATAATGTAATCTGTAACCGTTGTAGGGGTTATCGTTGTTACGTTGTAGGGGTTAGGGGTGTATTGGTTATCTATTGTAAATAACAAATTACTGTATGTACTATCAAGTGTAACCTGTCCTCAGTCTTTCTCCAGACACTGAAACATGAAGTTGGGGAAAAATCTCTGGCTTGGATGGTTACTTATTGGCCACATGATAAACTCATGAGGATCTTACTGTCAGAATGATCAGAAGCTTTGCTTCCCACGTTCTGAGAGTTTTATCTTCCTCACTAACATTCTCGGTGAATCCAGTTCTTTCCACATCACTCGTTTTGTATTTTTCTACTCTCGTATTGATATCCTGAAATAGATCTAGGTTCTCTTGAACATTCTGTAACAGTATTGTACAGCTTTAGAGGCTTAGTGCTTTTTGGTAATTTCTTACTGTTTGAAGTGTGGATGTTAAAAGCTTTGTGGTTAGCTTTCTGATGCTTAAAGAGTTGTGTAATACTTTACTGCTGAAATAACATGAAAACATTTAAAACATTGTAGTTGAAATTATTATTAATATAAACTTTAGATGAAAACAGGAAGAAACAGGTGGTATATAAAATATGGTTAAAAAAAAAAAGAGAATTTTATGTATAAAGTTTATCTTTATTAAACAAGGTTTCCTGGAGCTTGTTTCCTAGAGGACGGTGTGCAGCAAGTGCTTCAATACAAGACATTTTCCCATTTACTATTCTTGTACACTGTCAAATTGTGATTTTGCTTTAAAATATAGTTCGTATCAAATATTTCATTTACTGAGCAATATGATAAATCATTCTGTTTTCAGTTAAATACAGTACCTGTAATTTTTCTAATTTTTATTAAATAAAATTTTATTATTAAAGTTGGTTTATACTCAAGTTTATCCTTAGGGGGGGAAATGTGATATTATTACAACAAGCATTTTATACTATTAATTTGTTTTAAAACTAAACAGAATAAGGGTTTTGTATATGTATGTACGTAATGACTGACATTAAACATTTCTCCCACACAAAACATGAAAGATTCAAAAATTTTTAAAGAAAAATATGAATTTATTCTTTGCAATGTGGTGTTTGCTTTGAGAGGTATTATACTGT